CTTAAGGAAGAATCGCTAATATTTTGATATCTTACCTCTTTTATTTGGCAATCTACCCATCAAAAGAAAAGAAATGTATTCTTACAGGATTTTATAATCACTTAAAATATAAAATAATGATAAGCAAAATACTTCCGAAAGAAGATGGAGCATTTTTCTGCCCAGAATTCGGTCGTGCCGAATAGAATTCGGTCATGCGATTTGTGCGTGGTATCTCCGTTGCCAAGGAGCGAAGCGTATTTGCGCACTATTTTCACACAATTGCGCAATAAAGCACTGAATGTCAATGTACTGGCCGAGCGATACCACATGGCAAGGGTATCATATAAATACCTCTTGCACATCGGCAAGTGCGTCATTTGCAAATTCGCTGCGATGGAGTGAACACGGAAGTGATTCTCTTCACACACATACTAAATTCATTGCGACAGCACACGTAGTTGTTTCGCAATAGACTTCTACATATGGCTATGCATGTTAGCGCATGTGCTAAGACAACGCGGAAGTGCAGCAATTTCGAGCTAAGTTGGAGATCTTTCCGGGGCCCTAAATCTGATTTAATTTTGAGAGTTAAGAAAAGTTGTTCAGCTGCCTGATTTGTGCAAGTTTTGTGGCTCATAAATTATTTTTTTTAATTGTTACAGCTGTTGAAATGGCTGTCTGACCGAATACTGGGAATGGACCGAATACTGGGCGCGCTACCCTAGTCTAGAGTAAAGGAGCCGGTTTTCGGCCACTTAAGACAAAATCCTATTTTTTGGACTCTTTACTTCCTATTTATTATCATTTCTTGTTCAAATCATGAAGCAAATATTATTATTATTTAAACAAAAAAAGTATCCCAGAAAAAAATCACGAATTGCCATGACAATATTCATTTCAATTTTCACTGTTTTGGAGCCAGTTATCGGCCGAGCGTTTCAGTGTAAGGCCGCATGTACAAAGTCAATAGGAAGCGCTCACGCGCGCCGTGCGTTTCCGCGCTGATGTACAGCACAAGCGGGCGGAGCAGGTATCCCACGCCGGAGCTCCCTGGTGCTCGCCTGGCCGAAGACAGGCACAGCGGTGATCGGAAGTTGGAATCTGAATTAGACAGACATATCGTGTGTGCGTGGCAGGGTCCGGCTGCATTGATTTAATACATGCGATGAGATACTTTTGAGCTTGCGACTAACACAAAATCGGGCTCTAAATCTGAAAAATACTTGAAATAAAGCTGATTTTATGGTACCCATATTTCTTACATACACGCGTAAGATACTCGATTTTTCAGATTCGGGTAGCGGGACCGCCGATTACATCGCTAAAATGTGATATTTTAGGATATAGGGTAGCGCGCCCAGTATTCGGTCGATTCCCAGTATTCGGTCAGACAGCCGTTTCAACAGCTGTAACAATTTAAAAAATAACTTATGAGCCACGAAACTTGCACAAATCAGGCAGCTGAACAACTTTTCTTAACTCTCAAAATTAAATCAGATTTAGGGCCCCGGAAAGATCTCCAACTTAGCTCGAAATTGGTCAGTGTCGCACAACTTTCCGCACTTTCGCGTTCTCTTAGCACATGCGCTAACATGCATAGCCATATGTAGAAGTCTATTGCGAAACAACTACGTGTGCTGTCGCAATGAATTTAGTATGTGTGTGAAGAGAATCACTTCCGTGTTCGCTCCATCGCAGCGAATTTGCAAATGACGCACTTGCCGATGTGCAAGAGGTATTTATACGATACCCTTGCCATGCGGTATCGCTCAGCCAGTATTCGGTCAACGCATTGACATTCAGTGCTTTATCGCGCAATTGTGTGAAAATAGTGCGCAAATACGCTACGCTCCTTTGCAACGGAGATACCACGCACAAATCGCGTGACCGAATTCTAGTCGGCGCGACCGAATTCTGGGCAGAAAAATGCTCCGTCTGCTTTCGGAAGTCTTTTGCTTATCGTTATTCTATATTTTCAGTGACTATAAAATCCTGTTAGAGGAATAAATTTCTTTTCTTTTGATGGGTAGATTGCCCAATGAAAGAGGTAAGAATTCAAAATATTAGTGATTTCCCCTTAAGTGACCGAATACTGGGTACTCTACCCTAGAGTCTATTTTTCATTGCAAATGTGGTTCTTCAGTGACACTGGCATGGTATGGTATGAGTGGGATATGTGTTATCAGCATCAGCATCAGTATACGGAAGTGTGAGGTGATCCTGTTGAAACTTCCGGTCGTTTCATTGAGTGGTGCTTCGTTCGAAAAAGAACCTTAACTATTTTTGCTCGCATGGCGGGTGGACGCACAAATAAATTTTATGGAAGCATTTGGTGCTGAGAGGACCAGTGCTTGTCCAATCTAATCTTGAAAGAAGTGATTGAGGATGAGGAGATGACAGATGTAGGAAGACTATTCCAGGATTCTACTACTCTCTGACTGAAGCTGTTTCTTCTTAGGACTGTGTTGCTCCTTTGCTTATACAGCTTCTGGTGGTGTCCCCTTGTAGCTTCATGAGGAGCAGATGTGAAGAAGGCTGCAGGATCGGAGTTTACGAGTCCGTTCATCAGCTTGTAGACCTCAATCATGTCGCCTCTTATCCTTCTGTATTGCAGTGAATACATTTTGAGGTTCTTAAGTCTGTCTTGATAGGATAGGTGTCTGATCTCGGGAATTAACTTTGTTGCTCTTCTTTGCACCTTCTCAACTTTCACTGCTTCAGCCTTAGACCTTGGATGCCAGATGACATTCCCATATTCAAGAAGAGGGCGAACAATGGTCGTGAACAGGATTGGTAATGTGTCTCTTGATATTCTTGTGAAAGTTCTCTTTATAAGTCCTAACGTCTGATTGGCTCTTTTAACTGCAGTGTCAATATGTGTATGAAAAGTCAGCTCATCATCTACCATGACACCCAAATCCTTTTCTGCAACAGTTTCTTGAATTATTTGGTTGTTTATGCGGTACAATGACTTGGTGTTACCCTTTCCAATGTGCATAACTTTGGTTTTTGCTGAGTTGAAGGTGAGTTGCCACGATTTGGCCCAGGAAGCTGCTTTGTTCAAATCCTCCTGTATTGAGTCTCGTTGGGTTGATGTACTAACTTCTCCATATATCTTGGTATCATCAGCATAGATTTGAATGCCGTTACTAATCTTGCAGGGCAAGTCATTTACATAGAGGACAAAGAGTTGGGGCCCGAGGACGCTACCTTGAGGCACGCCGCTGATCACTGTAGTCCACTCTGAGAAGTCCCCTCCAATTGCAACCCTCTGAACTCTTCCTATCAAAAGGCTTCGATCCACTTGAGAACCTGGTACTCGATGCCGTAGGCTTGGACTTTCTTCAGGAGCCGTTGGTGAGGCACAGTATCAAAGGCCTTACTCACGTCTAGGTAACACACATCTATGGGTTTCCCTAGGTCTAGTAGTCTAGTCCAGTCTTCCATTTGTTTCATAAGTTGTGTGCAGCATGACCGGCCGGGAGTGAAGCCATGTTGGGCATCATGTAGTATGTCATTGTCGATTAGGTGGTCCATTACTTCATTCCTTATAATGGACTCCATAACCTTGCCAATAGTAGAGGTTAAACTTATTGGTCTATAGTTACTAGCAAGTTGTCTGTTGCCTTTCTTGTGGATAGGAATCACGTTTCCCGCCTTCCAGTCCATTGGCAGGAATCCTTCACTTAGGGACCTTTGGAAAATAATTGCCAGTGGGCAACTTATCTCTTTTGATAATTCCTTCAGCACTCTAGGGTGGAATCCATCAGGACCAGCAGATTTGTTTACATCAAGTTTCTTTAGCTGCCTATTTCTTGCGTGATTTCCACCGTTGATAAGCATGGTCCATTGTATTGCCACTCTGGTGCAGGCATATTAATCACGTCTTCTTTGGTATTTTAGAGTGATTTTACCTTGCATCCAACCAATCGGCCGAAAACGGGAGCTGGCCGATTACCGGCTCCTTTACTCTAGATCTAGACTAGTCTAGATCTATGCATTAGTCTACAATACAAGAATTCAAACGTGTCGGGCTGAATGAGACTGTTCATTTTTATTCGAGATCATTCTAAGAAAACGATTAAATTCAATGGTTATGGTGATTGCCAATGTATATTAAGCAACTGCTATGTTAATTCTAAACTCTAATAAAAGGAAGAAACTTACGGGGTTGGCCTTTAGTCGGCATTTCTAAAACTTTTCCTTTGCAATCTGGCTACTAAAACACAAAGTTCCTGAAATGCACGTGTGTGAAATAACTAGTCGAGAATTTAAAGTCTAGGTACCTGAAAGCTTTATCGGCCCTTGACAATTCGGCCGTTTTGAGGGGAGGGATTTAATTTTTTTTGAAAGGGCACCCTGTTTCAACATTGTTTAGATAAAATATATACATTTATATTATTTAATAAATATAGTGCAATTAATTCCTTGAAATACTAGAGCACCATACTGACAGCCATGCTAAAGCAGGGGTAATAATTTCCAAAGCTCTCATTTGGAAGCGATATAATGTGATATGTGCTATTATACATACAAGAACCGAATATAATTAAATTATTATTATTAATTATGATTGGTTGGTTGTTATTTTTTTACCTGATTGTACAGGGTACATGAGCATTTGTCTACATCAATAACCTACTTCTTGTGATGATCAAGATTAAACTGATTTAATCTTTGCGCAGCATAAAACGTATGACCATTCGGTACAATTTCTGAAAATCAAGACTATTAATTTTGGGGCTCGATTTGACAACTAATAGTCGTTATTTTCCCACTTGAAGACATTTTCAAGCCCCACCTTTTTTTAGGGAAGTTCTAAATTAGTAATATCTTTCAAATGCAGTTGGAATTTAACTTTTTCATTTTTTGGGCCTGCAAATGTGACATATAGTACCAGTAGAGTGAAATAAATTAATGAAAATGAAATATCCTAACCTGCACATCGAGCTTTTTACGGGACGAGTTGTCTAGGATCTAGAGCCAATCTCAGCTGCGCTAGCTAGCTAGCTAGCCGCTGTGGTGTACATGGTATGTATGGTGAAAGAAGTGATGACAGGTAATTATTATTGTCCGGTATTGAGTCTTCTCCGGGTTGATGCAGGCTCAGCTGCTTTTAAGTTAGAGATTTGTCCTCTTATTTCAACATTTGAGCAGTGATATTGGAGTGAACGTGCAGCTGTCTTGGTCAGTGAAGTCATTCAAAGTTTGCCTATTTTGTTGTAAATATAATGTCTTTCTAACTTCATTCTAATTGCTAACAACATGTTGCTTGTCGTGTTTGTGTGTGTGTTCATGTTTTGCAGTCTAGTCAGATTCAGAGAGACGCAGTTGAGATTGAGAATGAGTGCGCCAAGTGCATGTCGAGTTCTGTGTGGGAAGTTAGTTTTGATTTGTGTGAGTGCTTGGTACTTTGTTGGTTGGTCCTCTAAAATACTCATCTGAGTTTTTAACTGGAGGTGCGGATAGGATTTGACCGAATTTTTCTGTCTCTTTAGTCTTTACAGAAAAATTTGGTCTAGACCTAGGATAGTCTAGGATAAGGATGTGCTTCTCAAAACTTGATGTCTCAAAATCTATGACGACTCGACGACATATTTACTAACCAAGAGTCAAACTATTAGGCATTAGCTTGTATAAGATGTCAAATGTTAACTTAAAATGAGAGCTGGCTATTGAATCATTTAGTTTGTTGATGGAAAAGAAAGATTGAGGATGAGAGATAGAGAGAGAGAGAGAGAGGGGTGATCAGTGATTACACTTCCAGCTCCTCTTAAAGTGACTCGGTAGCATTGCCTCAGAGTCAGATTCTAAAACAAAACCGTGGATTAAGCTCATGCTGCAATCATAATGAGAAAAGGTCCGTAGATCTAGATTTAGGCCTATTTAGAGTCTATAAACCTTGGTAGCCTCTAATCGGGCACATCTACAAGGAGGTCAATGAATATGCATATCAGTGACGTCTTGTCAAGTCATGAATATTGATGTTCTTGACTGCGCGCGTACGATCGTACGTACGTACGTGCAGAATTGGGGTCATGACTGTTCAATGAAGGTAATACGTGCAACACAAATCAGGGCAAAATCTTACCATTATACATTTGTATTGTCCGTGATTATGAGGTAGAAGTGTTTGAGTGTTAAGTAAATTTATTTAGTGTGGATTTTGATACATTTTTGATACAGTTTATACAAAATTGGCGATTCTTTTGGTCGCTTTTTAACTCCAAAAAACAAGTGACCAACTCGATCGTCGGCTAAACCACCTCCCTGTAGATGTGCCCGCCTCCCGCTACATGTGCCCGAGATAGGGGAAATGTATAGTGAGGCATCGACTAGTGTTGTATATTGAATTTCCGTCGTGTCATGGATATAATAAAGCTTCCTAAGATACAATTGAGTTTCACAAATATCAATTTATCTTCTTTTCATGGATTTTCTTTGGATTCTACGTGTTTTACGTTGTCAAACAACCACCTCCCTGTAGATGTGCCCGCCTCCCGCTACATGTGCCCGAGACAGGGGATATGTAGTAAGGCATACAACTTAGTGTTGTATATTGAATTTTCGACATGTCATGAATATGATAAAGCTTCCTAAGATACAAATGAGTTTCATAAATATCAATTTATCTTCTTTTCATTGATTTCCTTGGATTTTACGTGTTTTAAGTTATCAAAACATGCACCTCCCTGTAGATGTGCCCGCCTCCCGCTAGGCCTACATGTGCCCGAGATAGGGGAAATGTAGTGAGGCATACAACTAGTGTTGTATATTGAATTTTCGACATGTCATGAATATAATAAAGCTTCCTAAGATACAAATGAGTTTCATAAATATCTTCTTTTCATGGATTTTCTTTGGATTCTACGTGTTTTACGTTGTCTAACAATCACCTCCCTGTAGATGTGCCCGCCTCCCGCTACATGTGCCCGAGATAATGGTGTAGCCAGACATTAATTTATATATATATATTATTTTATATCTATGCGTATCTTTCTTGCTCCCTCGACGTGGCGACTCCACCAAACATACCCCCTCTTTCTTACTCACCCCCTTTCTCTCAGGCTCTTACCCCCCTCTCTCTCTCTCTCTCTCTCTCTCTCTTTCATCCCCTGTTTCTTTTGTTTTCTTTTTCTCTTTTTTCTTCTTCTTTTGCTCCTTTTCTTCCTTTTCTTTCTTTTCCTTTCTTTCCTATCCTTCCTCTTTTTCTCTTTCTTCCTCCTTTTCCGGACAATATCCTGACAGACGGGGGTGTCGCACCCCCACACCCCATTTGGGGACGCCCCTGGTTGTAGGGAGTTAGATTATATAAAATATTCAAACTTTTCGTAAATATACAATATTGCACGATTTTTTTTCCTCCTCATAATAATGTAAGGAAGTAATATTTTCAAGATTTTAAGTCAAATAAGATACGATTTTGCGATCGTAAGGCATTAAGCAAACGGTAGCGTCCCCTATATTATGTGTTTTTAAAAGTAGGCCTTTATTTTCTTTTAGCTTTGATAATTATATAAAAACATCCCCATTATCTAGCTAATATATTTCCCCCGCTCCAGTGGTGACAAAAAAGGGAAACATAACACACACGTAATCCTTTCGTAATTTGTCCCCCTTGTGTGAAATATCCCCCCCCCCCTCAACTGATAGTCAATCTTTGGTGACAAGACGAAATTTTACAAGGAAACCACCTCGACCGAAAAAAAGACAGATTTAGAACGTGACAGTAAGACAATATATATATGCTTTATGATTACCAACCTCTCCTACGAGATGACCCCGACAATAAGACACTATTTCAAACTCGTGGGAGACAGTGAGCATATAGGATGACAATATATAATGCTTTTTCACAAAAACAAAACAAAAAACACAACAATATATTCCTGTTCTCAATGTGTATGATGAATTGACAGGTGATATGTATATTATGATGTGTTTGTTCTATAATTATCTATCTTGTTTCATGACAACTTACATCAGCCTTAATTTTCGTTCTATGTGTTCCCTTTGTTGTATTTTCTTTCTTTTTTATTATGGTTTGGTTATTGAAATTAATTGATTATCTATATTTCGTGTGTGAACCTTTAAGCATGTATATATCGACTCGAATAACTAATACATTTATTTTCTGTGTTTGCTTTGAATTTACCATGTCTCGAATGAATTAATCAATGATTATTTTTTATTGAACCTGCATTCAAATTTATGTTTACATTCCGTATTTTGCATGTGTTTGTTCTGTGTTTATCATTATATCAGGCCCCCTTGTTGCTACGAGGGCTAGATATCCCACCCCAAAATAAAAACGAAGACAAATTTCTCACGGCATTTTTTTACTTTAATTGTGTTGCACTAAAAGGACCTTATCAGACCTCCTTATACCCATCACCATCACCCTCACCCCAACAAAAAAGACAATAAATGTTTGATTCATATTTGGATTGCATTATCTCTTTGTACGATACATGACGCGAAAACCGTCAAGGTCCGAAAGTGTTCAAGCCCCCTATCCCCCAAAGTCTCAAACAAATCACAATTCCGAAGTGCCCCCCCCCCCACCTCTCACCCCTCTCCGGACAGTAAGTAGGCTCGTGTTCCGGCCCAACCCCGCGTGTCTTTCTTGCTCCCTCGACGAGACAACTCCACCCAACAACCCCCTCTCTCGTTTACTCCCACCCCTCCTCTATCAGGCTCTTACCTCCACTTGTTTCCTTTTTCTCTTTTTGTTTTCTTCTTCCTTTTTCCTTTTTTTCCTTTTCTTTCTTTTCCTTTCTTTCCTCTCCTCCCTCTTTTTCTCTCTCCTTTCTTTTCCCTTTTTTTCCTTTCCTATCCTTTCTTTCCTTTCTTTTCATTTTCCTATTTTTCTTTTCTTTCCCTCTCTTTCTTCCCCTCCCCCTTATCTCTTTTTTCCCGACGGCAGCGCAATTTTACCGACAATATCCTGACAGGTGGGGGGGGGGGGGGGTTGTCGCACCCCCACACTCCCCTCTTTGGAAACGCCCCTGCTCGTATGCACTGTTTCGTTCTTGAAACACTGTTATATTATATTTACACAAACAAATTACCTTACAGAAAACATTAACATACCCAAAGAAAGTAGTCCGTCAAATGAATCATTATCAAACAAATAAATTACTCAAAAGTATACTGAGTAATAATCAACAATCATATTAAAGGATACTGATTTTAAATACAGGCCTCTACACTGTTAAACAAAGTTAAAAGGTAGGTGTTACCAAGCGCGGATCAAGGGAGGGCCGAGCCCCCAGCCAAAAAAAAAAGAAAAAAAAAGGAGAGAGCGAGAAGGAAAAGAAGGGAAAGGGAAAGAGAGAAAGGGAAAAAAGAAGAGGAAGAAGAAAAGAAAAGAGGGAAGAAGGAGATCGGGGGGGGGGGGACTTGCCTTCCAGGCTGTTGCCCCCCCCCCCCATCCAAAAATAAAAGAGAAGGAAGGAAAGGGAAAGAAAAAAGGAAAAGAGGAGATAAAGGGAAGGAAAAAAGAGGAAGAAGAAAAGAAAAGAAGGGGGATATCAGTTGCAATTTTCCCGCCAACAAGTTGTGGATAGGGGGAAGGCCCTTGCCCCCCACCCCCCCCCCCCCCCCCCCCCCCCCGTCCCTGCTAAAAAAAGAGAAAAGGAATGAAAAGGAAAAGAGGAGAGCTAAAAGGGAACAAAAAAGAGGAAGAAGAAAAGAAAAGGGAGAAAAGAAGGGGAGATCAGTTGCGGTTAATCCCGCCAACAATGTGTGGAGCGGGTGGGGGTCAAAATGACCTTGCCCCCCACCCCCAGCAAATCTAAAAGAGAGAGAGGGAAGGAAGGGAAGGGAAAGGGAAAGAGGAGAGAAAGAGAAAGGGGGGGGGGGGGGTAGTGAGCACATTTTTTTTTTTTGATCCTCAAAAAAAAATTAATTTGCACCCCCCCCCCCCCTCTTGAGCGCCAGGGGGGGGGGGGCCCAACCCCCAAAAAAAGTAAAAATCACGTGATTTTACATGATTTTTTTCTCAAGGGGGGGGCCGGGCCCCCCGGGCCCCCCGGCCCCCCCCCCCCCCCCCCTGGATCCGCCACTGCATTTCCCCTATCTCGGGCACATGTAGCGGGAGGCGGGCACATCTACAGGGAGGTGCATGTTTTGATAACTTAAAACACGTAAAATCCAACGAAAATCAATGAAAAGAAGATAAATTGATATTTATGAAACTCATTTGTATCTTAGGAAGCTTTATTATATTCATGACATGTCGGGAATTCAATATACAACACTAAGTTGTATGCCTTACTACATATCCCCTATCTCGGGCACATGTAGCGGGAGGCGGGCACATCTACAGGGAGGTGGTTGTTTGACAACGTAAAACACGTAGAATCCAAAGAAAATCCATGAAAATAGAAGATAAATTGATATTTGTGAAACTCAATTGTATCTTAGGAAGCTTTATTATATCCATGACACGACGGAAATTCAATATACAACACTAGTCGATGCCTCACTACATTTCCCCTATCTCGGGCACATGTAGCGGGAGGCGGGCACATCTACAGGGAGGTGGTTGTTTGGCAACGTAAAACACGTAGAATCCAAAGAAAATCCATGAAAAGAAGATAAATTGATATTTATGAAACTCCTTTGTATCTTAGGAAGCTTTATTATATTCATGACAGTCATGTCGGAAATTCAATATAGGCTACAACTATAAGTTGTACATATCCCCTATCTCGGGCACATGTAGCGGGAGGCGGGCACATCTACAGGGAGGTGGTTATTTGACAACGTAAAACACGTAGAATCCAAAGAAAATCCATGAAAAGAAGATAAATTGATATTTATGAAACTCATTTGTATCTTATGAAGCTTTATTATATTCATGACATGTCGGAAATTCAATATAGGCTACAACACTAAGTTGTATGCCTTACTACATATCCCCTATCTCTGGCACAAAGGCGGGCACATCTACAGGGAGGTGGTTGTTTGACAACGTAAAACACGTAGAATCCAAAAAAAATCCATGAAAAGAAGATAAATTAATATTTATGAAACTCATTTGTATCGTAGGAGCTTTATTATATTCATAACATGACATACAACACTAGTTGTATGCACTTCATTTCCCCTATCTCGGGCACATGTAGCGGGAGGCGGGCACATCTACAGGGAGGTGCATGTTTTGATAACTTAAAACACGTAAAATCCAACGAAAATCAATGAAAAGAAGATAAATTGATATTTATGAAACTCATTTGTATCTTAGGAAGCTTTATTATATTCATGACATGTCGGGAATTCAATATACAACTAATAAGTTGTATGCCTTACTACAGTATCCCCTATTTCGGGCACATGTAGCGGGAGGCGGGCACATCTACAGGGAGGTGGTTGTTTGACAACGTAAAACACGTAGAATCCAAAGAAAATCCATGAAAAGAAGATAAATTGATATTTGTGAAACTCATATTTAAGGGAGCTTTAATGTTACATCCGTTAACTCTCGGATATTGAATATAGAATACTATTTTATTACACAACTCGATCCCTATCTCGATCGGGCATAAGTCATGTAGAGGTACGTAGGCGGGCACATCTACAGGGAGGTGGTTTAGCCGACGACCGAGTAGGTCACGCGTTTTATGGAGTTAAAAAACGACCAAAAGAATCGCCATTTTTGTATAAACTGTATCAAAAATGTATCAAAATCCACACTAAATAAATTTACTTAACACTCAAACACTTCTACCTCATAATCACGGACAATACAACTGTATAATGGTAAGATTTTGCCCTGATTTGGCTGAACCACTGTGTTGCACGTATTACCTTCATTGTACAGTCATGACCCCAATTCTGCACGTACGTACGTACGTACGATCGTACGCGCGCAGTCAAGAACATCAATATTCATGAATTGACACGACGTCACTGATATGCATATTCATTGACCTCCTTGTAGATGTGCCCGATTAGAGGCTACCATAAACCTTAGGTCAGTCAGGAATCCCATGACTTCTACAAGCCAATCGGCTGTCTAATTATCAAGATATTTATGATTGGAGATCAAAATTATAACACTGCAGTCGATTCGGGATAATGAGTACAGTACATATGGTAAAACCGGTCACTTAAAGATTTTTATTTTTTTGAGGACTTCAATATTACACCATTTTACAGACACTGATAACACGTAGGACCATGCATCTCAGATTTAACATTGTTAAACGATGTCTTTAAGTGTTGGGAGTTTGGGAGCCCCAAATTTGTCCCAAATTTGATGGCAAAATTTCACCTAAAAATTGTATCATGTGAAAGAGGATGCCATTTAAAAGACACACTTCTGCAAAGATTTCCCCCCAAAAACGTGTTTGAAGACAAATATTGACAAAAGAATACATAGATCTAGACTAGGTCTAATTTGGGTTTTCTGTTATACTTGTTGTAGTTGTAGGCACAAAACCCAAATTTTGTATTCTTCCATCAATATTCAACTTCACACACATTTTTTTTTAAATCCTTGCAGAAATGTGTCTTAATTAAATGACATCCTCTTTCACATTATAATAGAATTTAAGTGAAATTTCATATCCAATTTTGGGAGCTCCCAACACTTTAGAGGAACTTTAATCATCGAGAGAGAGAGAGAGATTGTGTGTGTGTGTGTGTGTGTGTTTGTGTGGGATGGAGAGAGAGGGATGAGATGTGAGACAGAAATATGTCGGTGCATTAATAGATAAAAAGGGATTCAGAAATGGAATGGACGACTTGTGACATATCCGGCATCCCTCTCCAAAGAGAAAGTGCCATTAGTGTGGTGGTCCATTTTATATGTTTGCATTTTCTTACTTCTCAACATGTTCCTCCATAATGGAGCACATTCTGCGTACCTATGGCTATCGCCTACTGGTACCTTGAATGGCATATATCCCAGCAGATTAAAAAAAAGGGGGCTTAAGAACCAAAGATGATCTCACATTCACTTCCATACAACATAAAATAGTATGCCTACCGTAATTGTTTGTGACTTTATATTACATTATGAATTTAATGATTCTTTTCTTCAAAAATATGTAAATCATCTTTTACACTGTTGTCAGCATTTCTCATCAGCATTTAACAGTTTTAAATATATCGCTTCTATCATCAATGACTACCTTGTCTTAAAATTCCAAAGGAAATAACAAAATAAGTGTTGCATGAGCCATTTTATTTGTTTTTATTTGGTAGGTTGAAATTCTTAATCATGATCTTTAATTTTGAGAAATGTGTGGGACAATATGAAGTGAATTTCATTTGTTCATAGATTTATTTTATTCTATTTAAAAAGTAATCCTAATGACACATGAACAGTGAAAGATATCAGGGCATTGTTTCACAAAACAGTGATGGTACATGTTCGCTGAAAACCCTTGGAATGCGTGTATTAAATTTAACACAAGTTTCAATGGGATGATGGTGAACCTGTACTTATCCTGCTTTCTTTAAATGATGCCCAGGCTCCTGGATCGAGCATTGGTAAAATACCCCCTCCCCCTGCTTCATGTCAGAAAACCCCTATAAGAAACTGCAATCCATGTTTAAGCTTATAACTTGATATTGGTAAAACTTGATTAGTTATTCACAAAGAAGATGTATTAGCTGACTATTCTTACCTAACTTTGTATGTTCTCATTCATGTACAGACAGGAAGATCCTCTGTGAACCCAATGGTAGAATTCAATCTCTCCTAAAAGATATGATATGAAGCCTGTTCGTGACAAAAAGAAAAGCATGTCAAATTCAATACGTAAAAAGTTAGGACGGGGAAAGAAGTCGGCACCAGGAAAAAGGTCTGCACCCGATCCCAAGTTGGTTGAGGTATGTGAGCTCCAAGATGAAGGAGGCAAAGCAGGGAGATCCAGGAGTGGTAAGCTGGACTCTCTTGGAGAGGTGTTCACCCCACTGGGTGCTCCATCTGCAAAGAGAGGTCGACAGGAGCACAGGAGCCCTCAAGGAGTCTCGGCCCTGAACTTGACCCCAGCTAAGGACACCCAGGTGACAATCATTGATACTTCATTCCAGGATGATTCCGGTAACCTCTCTGGCAACAGTAGTTCCCTCTCACCTGACGAAGGCACCGGGAGTCACAGCTTCCAACCAGTGTCCATGGCTCCCACCGCTTTGGAAGAATCCTTTGATAGCAACTCGTCAAGAAATGATCAGTCATCATCATCGCTGTCCTCATCCTGCTCATCGTTACCCATGGATGAAGGAGGCGACCATTCAGATGGACTGACTGCTCCTCCATTGGAGTCTATGCAGGGAGCAGTGGGTAGCTATGATGAGGCCCAAAATTATAAGTGAGTAATTGTCTAACACTTAAACAAAATCTTGAGTACCGGGTTTGTTATTTCATTTTGGAATAAAAGCCTGTCTAGAAGTAATGCTGAATGTTTCATCAGGTCATCAGAATTTTATAAAAATTGACTATAACTTGCTTACAGGTAATGTAAAGTTTTGTGAAATTTTTAAAAATTGGATGAATAGTAATTCATTAAAGTTTTGATATATTTGGATGCCCCAGTAGATGTATTATAAGCACTAGAAAATATAGCACCTTAACACTTTTGCCTTTGAGAAATTGAATAATAAATAAATTACCGGTGCTCCTGGTAAGTTAAGAATATTTCAAGTAGCGCCTTGAGCCATTCCATGGTAGCTGCAACCATGAAAATCTCAGAGTATGCAGTTCTGATAATTAATTTCCAAAGGGGAATAGCAAATGGGTCGATTGTAGTCAAGAAACATTGTTTAAAGCTAAAGAATATCGGTTTTGAGAGGGAGCTGTACATCATAAACAGGTTATTATTTACAATTTCAATTTCAACCGCGACAACGACCATTGGATATTGTAAAGTCGCATATGCTTCCAAGATGTTCATTTGAACCAAATTCATGACCCCATACCAAAAGTTTGTTTTACCTTTAAAATCACAGCAATTCGACTCTGGACACAGATATTGCTCAATGGGACTCCACAAACATGCACTAGTACTTCATCCTCGTATGTAAATTATTTTGTATTATTTCAAGTATGAGAGCTCTTTTTAAAAAAATTCAATTTTCACAGGACATTGCTACTGTTATATTGTTCCATTACATTTTTACCAGAGATTAACATATCTGTAATGTATATATGATACAATGTGTAAATCATCTTTGTTGTGTCATATTTGTAATCTCTCTGTAAACAGATTAATATCACTGCAGAGTGGATCAGCATATCTCCTCCTCTTGCAAGGAGGCACTCGAATGCCTGTCAGGGGCCTAGCTGAGATCTCCTCTCTCTACGGAACAGTCGTCGCCCATGGGTACGAGATAACCCCCCAGACCCCCAGCCCTGTACCCATCTACTGTCCTATCATTGTCAGCTCCAAGTGCCTGGAGACCGACCGCTCTGAGGGGAGAGAACTGGAACAGACAGAGAGGAATGCATTGCTGCACACCATTTCCACTCTGCATCCAGATTCCATGACGGCGCAGGAAGTGCTTGCTGAGATGAAGAGTGAATCTGTTCTGGTGTTGGTGTCAAAGCTGAATCATCAGCCTAGCAGCTTCATCACAAGTCATGTGGCTCATAAAAATCTCTACAGTGGAGGTAGTGCTAAGAAGGTAATCCTCACTGGTGATTCGCACTCATCAGATAACTGTAATAAGAGGAGTAGGCTATGGCAGATATTGCATTGAATCATATGAGAGTATACTCTAATGGTCTGTTTGTAGTAAAAAGGGCATTAAATCATTTGCTGTAACACAGAGTTAATGCCCTTCTGGATCCAAACAGACAAGATGATGTTGTCATCAAGAAGAGAAGGGACATTTTTAGGTCTTGCACAAAAATAAAATTACATTGATCTACATGTAGGGAAAAGCCTGTGAAAACATGAAGAGGAGGACGGTAATTCCCTCATCATAAAAACAGACACTTCAAAAGCTGGCATAAAAGACACTAGTTTATTCCATTCTTGGATATATGGACTATTCCATAAGTAATGGCTAATTCCTAGCCAGTCTTGACATTGTTTTATATATATTTTCTGTGAAATGCATTATAGCTTCATGTCAGACTGTGTTACAAGGGCTTTTTTTAAGTTTGAGGGGCAAAAATGTACATTTTGTTTCTAGTATTTATCAAGTTTTCTGTGTAGTATGTTTGAGTGATACCATCATTTCTCCCTTCAATATAGATGCTTCAGAAGTCAGATATTGCTATCTGTGACAAAGTTGGCTTATTCATCAATCCTGGGACAACCCATCATCAGAACGTGATTCAGCTTCACCAGGACTATGATGTGACTGCTCAGGCTGTGCTTGACGCTGTAAAGGGTGACATAGTCCCACCTAGAGTCATGTTTGTCGGGGCTAAGAACTCTGGCAAGTCCACAGCTCTGCGGTACCTAACTAACAGGCTGCTAACTATGTAAGTATTGCAGATACTGTGCAAGATGAGCAGTTTGTAGGAATTGAGTGTTAAGGATTGCATTGATCTGCACTCTATGGTCATCTCAGTGAAACCGGTGGAGTAGTTTCTTTGGGCCTTTCATCTATCATATGTAGCTTCTCTCAATCCGGGTATTAAATTGGTACTGTATTCATGTAGTGTGATGTTCAAAATCCAAGAAATGAGAAAAGCATGTGTTCAGATGACCTTTCAAAATCTGTTCTAGGGAGCATGCGATTCAGAACATTCCTTTTTCTGCACAGCATAAAGCTCAGGGGATAATGAAATATGCAAATACTTAAATGATTTGTATGATAAAGATATTATCTTTTCCGTAATACTTACCAGATTAAGGGCTGTGTGACTGAGCAAACATGAGCTCATCTGATTGCCTTTCACATTGTGAGGATTTTGTCTTCTAATCTGCAAATGTTTCTGATCTTTATGTTTGATTTTATTTTTCATTTCATTTACATGAAGTTCTCAACATGTAGGTTACTTAGAATGTGACCCAGGTCAATGTGAATTCACTGCACCAGCTATTTTGTCTCTTCATACCATCAAGCAAGCATTATTAGGTAAGGAATATGTATTGAATGTTTCGGTATTAATTAATACAGTAGCTTACACAAATTTACTTGCCTTCCTTTTAGTTATGTTTTCATGCTTATCAGTAATCCTTCCTTCCCCTCTCTCCACTTATCTCTTGTTCATTTTTTTTTTTTTTTTTTGGGGGGGGGGGTATACTTTCATTCTTTTGTTCTCTATTTCTCTCTCTCTCTCTCTCTCTCTCTCTCTCTCTCTCTCTTTCTCCCTCCCTCTCTGTCTCTCTCTCTTTATTTCTCTTGTAGTCTTTGTTTTTTATGTCTGTCTTCTTTCCTTTTCCATCTCTTTTAGGTTAGATATTCTGTTAATTTTCTTAAAGTTCAACCCAGGTCCCAGAATAATTTTCTTTTGATGGAGCAGAAAAATGAAACAGACCAATACAGATTTAAGGAAAATCAAGTAACGTATATATTGAAGTTGTGATATTGTTATTGACATGAAATTCCATATCATTGAACAGCTTATAAACTGTCTGATTGTCATCAGTTTCTATTTCTCTGATTTTGTTGCTTCTTTTGAAATATAATTATGTAGGACCGAAGTTGGCTTTAAGAAGTTACTTGAGATTTATCATGTTCAAAATCATTCTAGCTCATCTCATGCATTGATGATTATGAACGGAGTTGAGTCATATTGTTATATATCTTTTATCTTAGGGCCACCATTCACTCATCTTCAGAATGCAGAGAAGGCTTACTTCCTTGGAGATGTGAATGTTGAAGATCATGCAGAGAATTACCTCAAGATGATGGCTGCCCTCAACAGGCAATACCGTGACAGTTTATCACATCTTCCATTGTTTATCAATACCATGGGATGGGTTGAAGGTTTGTTGAATTCTTTTCTATTCTTTTTTTGTTAATGATTCAGAATAGATGTTGAACCATTGATGACAGGTGTATGACACATTGATTATAGAGAAGGCATATGGGTATATGCTGTACACAGCTATATTTGATCCCCACTTGACATTCATTTCCACTTAACAAGTATATATTGTTTTGTCAAGACATTTTTTTTAGGTGTTTTAATGCAGCATTTGTTAATGAAGCTTTATTCTTTACTCACTTTATATGTTTTAATGAATAGAGCCATCTCACCTCAGACTAAATGTTCTGGAGCTAATTTTCTATCACTCATTGGTGTTTGAGGAGACTCTTTAAAAGGGTAGTACCAGTCCATATATATGGCATTAACACCATAAAGAATTTGATCTACAACGAACGCAATGCATTCTTATGATGATATCCAGGTCTTGGATTGAAGCTGTTGAGAGAGATCGCCCGCATCACCCAACCAACTCACATTATCCATCTGGTTGCAAACGATGAGAAACCAGTCGCTTTCTTCAGCCAAGAGAAAGGAGATCTGAGTTACTTCAGCATTCCATCTGTCACGGACCAACCACTCCTTCCTCCAAAGCAAACCCTTACCATACAAGCAAAGTGCCAAATAGACAGGTATGCACATGGATCATCACATCTGGGGTAAATCATTGAGGGGGGGGGGGGTGACCCGGTGAAGTGGTACACCTGTATCACGCTACCAGTAGTACTTGGAGGAGAGATGTTCCAGGTTCACTTTCTCCTACTAAGAACAAGAACAAAAGCCAAATTACTAATGAAATGGTGTAATCCTGGACAATTACTTGGCCAAATTAGTCTCAAGAGCTTGAATCAATTATAAATATAAGCATGACAATTGCACTAAGTGTGGAAATTTACATGACCATTCTAAAGATTATTTAGAAGTAATGAGTGAAATACTTACAAGAGGCAAAATAAGAATTTCAAGATGAGAAATTCTATGGCCACTTGATAGAGGTCGTATGTGTACCCAACACTTTATCTCTTGAACTTATCCTTACTTTTGTTTTGCCATGATAGCCCAAGTTAGTCAGATATGAAGTACAAACTACTGTAACATCTTTGTTTGAATGAGTTTGACTTGTATCCTCATCCACCAGCTACCAAGCGTCTTCCCAACGAGAGCTCAACCTTCTAGCAGCCTTCAGTACACTCCTTCCTCTCAATTCTGACGCCAAACGCCTCACAGATATACGCCCTCGGGTGGTGCCATGGAGCCATGTCGCTCTCCACATTTGCCATATGTCTGTACCGGTGAACCAAATCCTGTATGCTGCTAATGCCAGTGTAGTGGCAATGTGTACTACAAGCAAAGAGGAGGTGAGGTTTATTAGGTGTACCCTCCCCCTTGATCCCATGAGCAGAGCTGCCAACTAGTACGGATTTCCCGTAATTGGTACGGAAATTAACGACCATTACGGAATGTTGTTTAAAATTACGGATTTAAAAAAAAAAAAAAAGATTTTTTTTTTTTTTTTTTTTTTTTTTTTTTTTTTTTTCCCCCCATTTTTCCTGGAAGACTGTGTTGTGATGATATGAAACTCATTATTTAACAACTTTGTGTGAGTAAAATCACCAAAAATGTCAGATAATCATGTGTCTGTGCAATGTTGGCGTGCCGTTTTTATTAGAGTCATAGCGCCGCATAGGAAATTACTGATTTATACCCAAAATTACTGATTTTGAGCCTTGTGATTACTGATTTTCGGTTCTGGAGGTTGGCAGCTCTGCATGAGAACCATAGAAAATGATAATTGGTCTTGAAATGGAGAGAAAATAATTAGTTGAAGTCCTAGACAAAATATGATGGTTTTGGGATTAATGGACTAGGCATCTACTATCAATTTTTAAAGGATAACCCGTATCTTTGTTTACATAATTCACCTCGTATTTTGCATGTTTGCATTTGATCTATGAATATTTATAATTTTGAATGAGCTATGTGAATTCATGCTTGGTGTTGATTAAGATTGTATCTTGTGTTTTAGAATTTGGATTTAGATATATCCCTTTTACTCTCTCTCTCTCTCTCTCTCTCTCTTTCTCCCTCTGTCTGTCTGTCTCTCTCTCTCTTTCTACCCCCCCCCCCACCCCATTTCTCTCTTCCCATCTCTCTCTCCCCACTTCTCCCTACCCATTTCTCTCTCCGTCTCTTGCTCTCTTCACCAACCACTGAATGTGTTCTCCTGCAAACCCTTATCAACTCCTATGCAGCTGGAAAGATGCAATGTACAGAAAGGTAGCGAAGGTCTGAGAACCCTGACATCAACTCCAGTCAGTGAATGCCTGGGCATAGGTAAGTTAGTAATGTCTGTACACAACATGAAAAACATTGAAATATAAAGTTGAGTTGTGAACAAAATTGAATAGAAATTATTTGAAAAGATCGATCCATAAGAATCAATTGGTGTTTTGAACGATGTTCCTTAAACGATTAATATGATGAAAAACTGACCCAATCTTGCTGATATATAATACACAAATATGGAACTACACACGCACACACACATTTGGGATCAAAGTCCAACACTTGGGTTCAAAATTAATGCTCTTTCTAATCATATTTAAAATAGAGCATTTGAAAAATAATCCTTTTCATGATACGTTGCTTCTATAATTTTCTACCACATAAGACTGAAAATAAATAAGTGAGCTCACAAATCATATTTCTCTTTTACTACACCTTGGCCTTCTCTTTATTAAAGCAAATGCTTCAATAGGAGATATTGAACATCAGTTTATGAATTACAATGTTTTATTGTTTCTCTCTCTTTGTTTCTCTATGAAGGTATCATCAGGGGTATTGACCCTCAGAAGAAAGCATTCTACATCTTGCCAGCATTGTCAAACGACCTGCTACCAAAGGTCAACACACTTCTTGTAGGATCACCCTTCATTCCAGAATGTGTCTTTGACCAGGTAGGTGGTGATTGTCATGGTTGTATAACACATGGTCAGCTTTGACTATAAACCTGCACCAAACATTGTAATTAACCCTACACTTGAACTTAACCCTAGACTTGAACTTAACCCTGAACTTGAACCAACCCAATTGCACCCAAACTACTAGTATATCTTTGTTGAAATATTGCCTGGAGCAATTGATACCAGTGAATGTCTCCTTGGAGATAGAAAGGCATTAATTCATATGCCTATCTGGCCCTCCACAAATGACAGATTATGTGTTGGAGCATTTGGGTTATTTCTTATAATGGATTAATCCTTGAAGTTACAGTGAACCATGGTTTAGCAACATAATGTTGGCATTCTTGTAGTGGAGAAATTCATTCATCAGAAACAATGAAGATAAGTCTCCATCTTTTTTCGTAATCGACATGGCACATGTGGGTAGCATAAAGGATTTTGATATACTCTTGACATTTTTAATATATGCTGAAACAATGTGTTAAATGCAAGCCTTCTCCATGAATCAATCATTCTATTAGTGGTCAAGCAGTCAATCATTAAAATAGGTCAATATTTTTGTTTTATTCTTCAACACATGAACTAAACAACTTAAATATATTTAAAAAAAAACTAACTTACCAATTAGGCAAAACCAATTTTATTGATACTTTTTTTTGTTTGTTCTTACACTTTATATCTGCAGCAATTCAGTACTAAGGGGGCACCGTACTTGAGCGAAAGCTTTGACACCAACGTCCCTGGCTCCCTGCCCATCCATCCAAAGACGTACCTCAAGAGAGGCCCTGGAGGGAGGCCTCCAAAAACTTGATATTTTATCAGCACATTCCAACATACTCTTAATAATTAATAATTTAATTATGGAGCTTGGCAATGTTGGAATTTAAACCCATTATTAGGAAAGGTGCTTTAGAGCTTAAAAGATTATAAAATGACTGGGGGTCATTTAACAAAAAATTTAATGTACATTCCGTGACAGAGCCCAGGAATACTAGAGGTGACGTTTTTCTTGGGGAGAGGTTCCTCAAGGAAACCTAAAATATAAATTGCCCTAGAGACATGCTGCCTGAAAAGAGTCATCTAGTTTTTTAGCCATCTATAACTGAGCTCATGAATATTCTTGTTTTTAAAAAAAAATTGCAGAAGAGATCTTGGAGAGACACCTAACTATTGAAGTGTTTCAAGATATTTTAACAAAAAAATCATGTTGTTTAAGATATTGATGACTAAGATGTGTTGACTCCTTTTCTAGGAGAGGACATGGAATGGGACCTAAGATCTTTAAATACCCTCAAGACATAACTTAAAATATTTTTCTAGCTCTCAAGTTTCCATATTGTTGAGACAATCATAGAGAGAGAGAGAGGGGGGGGGGAGGGAGGGGGAGGAGAGAGACATTGTATTATGAAATGTATCAAGACATTCCAACTCAAAAGGGTCATCTTGTTTAAAGTTGTAAATAACCAAGATGGGTTGACACCTTCTTCACTATATAGCAACCTTCTAAAGCACGAATAGGTAATAAGATTTTCCAACTTGGTAAAGACATTGGATTTTGATTATAGATAACTATGATAAATTGTAAAGGGGTTGACATTTTCTTTAAAGAGGTCAACCTGTGTCAACTTCTTTTAAGGGGACCAGTTACTTAAAAACATATATTTTTGTACCACTGGTTTGTATAAAAAAAATCAACTCCAAATAGTTTCCCTGGTATTCAGTGGTTGTTGTTGGTTGTATATTTGGTGCTCAGTCAAAGTTGACTATTTACGCCTAGTCGGGTTCTTTAGTTTAATTAGTCAAAGTAGTCGAGTAGTAATAGTTCCTAGCTTGGAAACTCTGTGCACCTGTGCTTCCCTGAATGAACTTTTAGTGAGTATAAAGAAAAATATAGGATAATATACAAAAGACCCATGCATAAAACTCAAGTAGAACTTGGATTCTGTTTATGAGTGTGTATTAGATGCATTGACTAGTCTGCGCCAAAGTCTCTTGTCCTTTTAGTTAGAATTTCTTTTCATTTAAGTAATATTTTTGAAGCCAGGTTTTTGAGTTAAGCTCTTATAACATAATGGAATTCAAAAAATTTGAAGCAAAATATATTTTGATGATTACAGTCTTGACCTGGACTATATCAAGTGTGACAATCCTGTAAGAGTCGGATAAATCCATAGTCATGCAATCCTTTTAGTTTTAATCTTGGTGGCTGTTTGTTTATTTTATTTTATGCTGTTAGTTCCTCTATAAGATATGCATATACATTGTATATGGAGCTATTGTGCCAAATGCTAATTGAATTGCCACTTTACAGTAGTAGTTATTATCATTAAGTATTTTGGCATCACCTGTGCCTGGATGGGGAAAGGTGAACTGAACCACTGTGACCCTCTGGGTCTCTCCTCCCGATGATGAAGTCGGTTATACTCTTTTGATACACCAGATGTAGGAACATAATTTTAAATGAAAGACGTATTTACTGTGGTACTCATGATGTTTTGAAGTACACAATGATAGATCATGAATTGCATAAATTAATATACGATTGTTCAGATAGCCTCAAATTTGTAGAAATGGCAGTGTTCAATCATGTACCTAATATTGCTGCAATTGTTAAGCATTTCTATAAAAATGTGAAAATGTACATATCTTTGTACATTTGTACAATCACAGCCATATAAAAAAAAATGTTCTTTTTTTTTTCTTGGTCCTTCCTGGTGTCGTATTAATGTTCTACCATTCTGATCCAGTATTTGCTTGCAGGGGGGTGGGGTAGGGCACATTTAACCAAAAAATAGCTAATGAGTTACAAAAAATATAATTTGCCTTTTTTTTGGGGGGGGGGACTCAAAGACTGTACCACTCTCCCCCCCCCCCCCCCCCCCCCCATTTTCCTGCATCTGAACATTTACTGAAGCAGTTTTCAAACAATATTATTGTGTACCTATTCATTTCCAATGGTGACTTATTTTTACAAAATATCAGCTTTTTAATGCCATTTTAATTAATTTTGTTTTTAAAATGAAATAATACAAATGAAATAATATGATTGATGTATGGTGATTGGGTAAAGTTTGGCTGTTGAACAGTTCTGTCTTTCTGCCATTAAAATTGCATTTGCCTTCTATCATAGCAAAATTTTTATTGCTTTGTTTATGTAATTTTTACACTTGAATGTGTGTTAGGAGTTAAACATGAAATCATATATTTGCTTTTACTGTGTGTGTTTATTTTTAATCAACTAAATTTCAGTACATTCTCACCTAAATACATGCCTGAAATTTAAGCCCCACTGACCTACTTGTAGCTACTTGCTCCCTCTATATAGAAAACTTCCCCAATTGATGCTGTTGGTCCCCCATGATCCTCTTTTTCTTATGTTAGTTGAGAGCTGAGTTAATGAGATAGCCACCCTGTCAGTGACCTCGCTGTGTGGTCTAATCCCTTCTGGCCCAGTAGTATTGACGGTCTTTAAGTCATATCCTCTCAACCGCTTCTTCGTCTTCCTCTCTTTCTCTCGTCTCTCTCTCTCTCTCCCTTTCTCTCCAATTCTCTCTCTCTCTCTCTCTCTCACTCTCTATCTCTCTCCCCCTTATCCTTTCCCTCCCAAGGGAAGGCAAAATTATTCTTTCTTCCACTCCCTTCCATTCAACTACACTTACACGATCGAAAACAGAAAATGCACCCGTTACAGTACCTAAATGTATGTCCATTCATGAATTTTTTAAATTTGAAACTAGTCCTGGGACCTATTTCATAATCCATGTCATCAATAACTAAGTTACAATAACTGTAATAAGCTACTGAAATCGTAGCATTTGACTGAATTTAGCATTTGTTATTAATAACAAGTTTTATGAAACGGGGGGGGGGGGGGGTCCTGGAGTTGAAGGTCAAAAGTAGCATGCACGAATCAATATCTAAAAGATACATATAATGATCCCAATAAGGCAAATAAAGAAAACAAAAATATTTCGAAATCTGAAGAAAAAATGGCTAATTGTCCATCATCCGGATCAAACACGAACAGAAATAAACCAGGAGGAATATAAATTTGAAAAAAAATATAATAAAAAGCCTTGTACGATTCTAGCGCTGACTGCCCAAGGAAAGGGGAAATCCCCGTCTTTCAAAATCAGCTGTGCAAGTCCGCTCGAAACATTAATTTCATCTCCGTATCCTTGGGAGAGGTTGATCGCAGTTTACAGTATTAGGTTTTGTGTGTCAAACCAAGGAGTTTTAATGGACAATCCTACCTCCTTGTTCAAACAGAACTTCGCTTGGCCCTAAATGTTGACCTGGCCTAGATGGCCTGGATTAATAACTGTATGAACTTTGAACTCTAAATCTATAGATCTGAGAGTGTGATAGATGACAATGCCGTGCAGGCAAAGCAGAGTGTAGGCATACACACGTTGGTAGTATAAATATAGGCTGCTTCATCTCATGTGTGCGTGTTGTAAACAGCATCGTGGTTAGAATGAGATTTGTAAGCTAATCTGAAAAGACACAGAATTACTCAAAATTAACTTGTCTTGAGACTTGACATAAACATGGCAGCACAAACTACAGTCCAGCATGAGCAAGGAGCCGAAGATCCTGCCGTTACCAACTTTAGACGATACCTTCGCATCAAGACTGTGGAACCTGATCCAGACTATGGTGAGCTTTATAATACATGTACAGACAAATTTGTCTGCTAATTCGTGTTTGGAAGAGTCTTTTGAGTTTTGCATGATGCTCCCCTCCAAGATAGATTCTGATTTTGGTGAAGCCAGAAGTAGTCTCAGCGAGTCAGCGGAAGATAATCCCTGAATAATATTTTTGTTGTCTAATTTACATAGAAGATTTGCAACAAAATACAAATGTATATTATTATTATAGAATATTTAGTGCTGCCTGATTAGCCGCCAAAATGTTGGTAATTGAAACTAATTATTAGACCCAGCATCATTCAACAGTGGTTTCAAATTATTTCGAATCTGATTCCAAGCCTCACCTTGAATTTTACCTCAAGATGTATTTCCATTTAGTTCAAATATTGTTCCCAGATATAAGTTCCCAATTGATTAGAAACAATATCTTTCATAACATGTATGCAAACAAGTGGAGTTACAAAATAAAGTGTTAGATAAAAGTTTTTGTTTGGGTATGTACTGCTTTTTTTAAATGATCATACTATTATTATTATTATTATTTGTTTTCATTGCTGTTTAAGTAATTAATCCAAACAAAATCAGTGTGACTTTATGGATATAAAATTTTACCAATATTGTTTCTTCAATAGTTGATCTCTTTTTGATCAAACAGCTGGAGCAATAGAATTTTTGAAAGAGATGGCCGGGGAAATGGGATTACCATTACAGTGCATTGAGGTTTGTTCATTTATTTTTCATTTAAAGTTTTTAATTACTTTAGAAGTGTGGGCTTTTTTGATGCTCCGTACCTCGGAATGTTACAAGTAAAGCAATATGTTTGGCAGAAATGTACTTACGGGGACAAATTTATGTTTATGGAGCTTAATGCATTACCCTATGAACCTCGCTATATGAAGTTAAATTGGCAATCTTATAGTAAATTTTTGCCCATTCTGCATGCATTATGTTTCTGACTAGACTATTTTGTTGTTGTTGTTATTGTTTCAGATTGCACATAAGTATATCATATCAATCATATCAATATGAAAATACAATATGTTTTGTAAAGTGTTATGACAGTCTTTATTTGCATTTGCAGGTGCATCCTGGGAAGACCATTGTCATCATCACATGGGAAGGAACCTACCCCACCCTCAAGAGCATCATTCTCAACTCACACATAGATGTTGTTCCAGCCTCTGCAGTTAGTTTACCATATGAGATTAAAAGTAGGATCATCTAGGTCTGTGATTTAAGTTGAAAGATTTGATGAGGACACCAACCTTTGTATGAAACCTTTGGGAATTTTTGGAAACAAAAGACCAGTTTACTAATTAAAGATTGCATACTTTATTCATAAACGAAAGATTATTTTTACTACCAGTACCTGAAAGCTCAATTGTTAGAGGTGCTGTCTGATTTACAAACAGTAAATGTATGAATCTAAATTCCATCTCTCATTCCTTGGAGATGCAATTAAGCATAATAGTGAATTGAATAGTTGTCACCAGAGTATATCTTTATGACAGTATGAAATTGACTCAAGAAGGTTTGAATGGCAAACTTGACAGATGTAAATTACAAGAATAACTTGGTGATTTACTTAGCAATCATTATTGCAAGTGAGATGATGGTGACAAATTATTCTTTTACCTTATGATAAACAGTTAATGTACTTTACGTAGACTATCCGCTAAAGGGAGTTGACACTTGCGAACAGAAACACATGATTTAACAGTACTTACATTCATTGATCAAGTATTCTAAATATTTTCTTTTGTTTCTTCTGTTTATTTTTCTCCTAACAGGACCATTGGAAATGTGATCCATTTGAAGCTAAGAAAATGGAAAATGGGGACATTTATGCTAGAGGCACCCAGGTCAGATTAAAAAAAAAATTCATCCCATAAACTTCAAATCATTTCAAAGTGTCACTCTTTATGAATTGTGAAAAGGTCATGTCAAGTAATTACTATCCTTTGACACAGAAAGACTTACCAGTAGACAAAATTCCTAGCTTTTGAGGACTTCCTACACTTCTGTCTTGATTTATACAATGCAAAGCCATCCATCCCCTCCTAAAACACACACACACACACACACACACACACACACACGCACACACACAGGGGATCATGACTTCAATCAATTTTGGAACATTTCTCATGTAATTATGAATATGTTAGATAAAAATCTTAAGGAAAATTTCAAAATTGAATACTAATGTATCTATATTTGATTGTATTTATAATCTTTGTATTCTGCTTGCTACTATTTTTTTTAGGACATGAAGTGTGTTGGAATTCAGTAAGTATACCATTTCAATATCTTGTATTCACAAGCTTCAGTTAAGTATGCTTGTTCCACAGCTGTACATTTATTTCCCAATGCTATGTCAATTACTGTGTTTATGGAAATCATCTATTGCTTGCTATATCAATGATACACATATTGCTACATGATTTTGTCAGGGACTTATAACCAAAGAATATTTTATTCTTAATGTCAATTCAGATCCATGCCATTCTTATATATTACAATCAAAATATCAGTTTCAAATATTACTTCTGTAAAGAGACGTATGCACACACTTCTGTTTGTTCCATGTACTTGATTTGAGGGTTGATTTTGTACATATTACCTGTACACAAGTTGTTTTAATATACCAGTAGATGAAATGTCCCGACCATTAATGAATTGTGGGTGAAATAGACCTCCAAGGTATGAATGGGGTGAAAATTTGTTTGCTTTGTAATCGCCCAGTTTCTATTTTATGATGGTATATTGTTTGGATAATCATATTCTTACACATTTAAAGTATAAAATAGAATAATAGATGATCAAAACTTGTGCCAACTCTCAGCAAAGCTCATAGTCCACAGGCCCATATAACATTTTGCTTTATTCTATTCTTTATTTTAATTTGCTTCATTTTATTGAAGTATTTGTATTCAAGATTATATACCTATATGTCAATATTTGATATACAGTGTAAGTATAAACGTAAGAAGTGAGCTGTATTTTATCCATCATTTGACCTTAATTTGCTTCTACCATACATAAAAATATCACTATTTAAAGTTCTTATCCAAAATGGCTACTGATTGCAAAACATGTGTGAACTCGGTCTTGATTAAATAAGCTCCTTCATTTAATACAAAGAAAAAGGAGATATTGCGTCTTTTATGGTTTCATGTCAACCTTGTCATCATGTCAGTTTTTATCGCTTCTTGTGGTTGTTTGCTATATGCTTTGTCCATTTTGATATTTATATGATTTTCCAAAATTATGTTATTATTAGTGTTTTTGCAGGGATGGCATGGCTTTTCTGGACTTACTGTGTTTGAAGGAAGTGTTTACAAACTCTGCTAATTATTTGCTGTTCTAACATATATTTTTCATCAGCGTCAATATTTAACCTCTGAAATCTTTGACTCTGAATCTTCTTCCTAAACACAGGTACTTGGAGGCGATCCGGAGGCTGATCAAGAAAGGGCAACGATTGCTTCGCACAGTCCACATGCTTTTTGTCCCAGGTATATTAACGATTTAAGTGTTTTTTTTATACCCGTCAGTCTTTTTTAATGTTTTTTTAATCTATAAAGATACAGTGACAGAGTACACAAAAATGGGTTTTGAACTGTTTTGTAGAAAAGTGATTTTTTTTCCTTCTCAAGAAATGTAGCCCCCCCCCCCCTTTTTTTTTTAAATACAAAATAATGGATCCACCCCTGTTCATTAGACCTCTTTGAGTCTGACCATGGTTTTAGTACAATAAAACTCTTGCTAAAAATGAATGATGTGAATTAAAGGAATATATGTTTTTAACATAATTATTCTGTTAACAGATGAAGAACTTGGAGGATTCAAGGGAATGAAGCTGTTTGTTCAGACACCTCAATTTCAGAAACTCAACATGGGGTTTGGACTAGATGAAGGTATGCTCCTCATGTACATTCTGTAAGGGACGTGATTACGGCTTTATTTTGTACTGAATCAACAGGGGGAGGGTTTCGATTAAAAAACAAACAATAGGATACACCTATAGTGTCAAGCACTGCATATGATGTAAAATATAATGTGTCCTAACATGAGCGTTAATCCAACTACAATGCTGATACGTGCACTCAGCAAAACCCAAAAGTGAACAATCTTAATTGTTCAAAGTTTTCATATAAACTTTCAATGAAAAACAGATATGAAATTAAGAAAAATTAAAACTCTACCATCATCAATTAAGATCAAGTTTTGAAATCCTCAACAAGAAACATATTCCGTGTTTAGTAAGAGTGATCAATGAACAAATATTAAAGATATACCAATACTAATCCTATATCTTAGGATTCATTGCAAGTAAACTAATCCTCTTACTAAAATATAATGATGTGAGACGGTGCTAACGATAGCATGGATAACTTCATGATGGGCATGGTTTATCTTTACTTTTTCCTTTACTAATTTTTTTATATATAGGTCTTGCCAACCCAACAGAAAAGTTTACATTGTTCTATGGAGAAAGAGCAACATGGTGTAAGTATCAATAGTAATGATATTGATTTTGTACAGCTACAATCATACAATATTTGTATACACATCCTAATGCACAGAGCTTTGGAAATTATTACCTTTGGCTTTAATTCTAGAAGCACCTGTTATCAGCACATAATGTATTTTAAGGAATTCATTCTACCTGTACATAGTACCCATTACTGCACCTGGGTTGAGAGTGGCAAATGTAGACAATGTCTTTCCAAAGGACATTAGTGCTGTGATGGGGCCAAATATTTCACAACCCCAGCCAAAAGTTCATACCACTTGACTATGTCACTTTTGCAATATATAAAATAAAAACCATGTCCAGCTAATTTCTAATTAGTATGTACAAATATGAGCATAGAACGATCAAATCCAGTGAAAAAAGCCCCTCACTCCCAACTGTGTATTGATTACCAAGAAATCAATCGTCATCTACATTTGAACCAAATACAAAACCCATGGATACCTGTTGTAAAGTATGTTCTAACTTCTAGCAACAGGCTGGGGGCAGCCCCCCCCCCCCCACACTTTCAAAAGCTGTGTAATAACATCATCATCTTTCATTAAATTTAAGTCAGCATTTTCACACTTAGTAGAGGCTACTGACTCTTTTTACCGGTTCATCATCTTCCCTTCTCAACACTTAATTGTACCATTTGCCACCCACCCCCCTTTCCCCTACTCTAATATGCATTAAAATACCCCTCTCCAACACCTGAATCTTAAAAGTTTGTTTAAAATGTTGACTGCAATTGTGTTTCAACCTTTTTAGAAATTAATATAACTTTGATATATATTCTTGTCGCCAGGGATCGATGTGATTTGCACTGGAGATCCTGGTCATGCTTCAAAGTTTGTAGAAGACACAGCTGCAGAAAAGGCAGTAAGTTATAATGAAGAAATATTTCTTTTAGAATTGGGTAAATTATGCTTTATCTTTACCAATAACTTTGGTGTTTTACTTGTGGTATAGAATATATATATATCAGATTAGGATATTATCTTTAAAGCAATGCATTAACATTGAACTTTTCTGTGCAGCTAAATTTTGATGTTGTATGTATTGATCTTTGGGGGAAAAGAATAGCTTGGCTTTCTTTTTGTACATGGAATTCAAAATGAGTTCACAAATTGTACAGTTTGATTTTAAGAAATCGTGTTTTAGGGAAAATGAACTATATGAAATGATTGAAATTCATGATATTATTTTGATATAGAGTTGTTGTTGTGTTTTTTTGTTTTTTTTTAACTTTGTTGCATTGTAAGTGCTTCATGTAGGTAAACAAATTCAGGTGTGTTGAAAAAATGATGAGAATGAAAAATAGAATTTCCTAGATTCATTGTGAATTATAGAGTCAATAGTACTAAGTCAATATGCCTCTCATCATTTTGTTTTTTTAAATATTTTTGTTTGCAGCGAAAAGTCATGAATGCATTCCTGGGCTATAGAGATGAAGAAATGAAGAGGTACAAATCCGAATGGTTTATTCATTGTTTACTACATCATGTGCGTGTTAACCTTTATTGTTAGAAATTAATCTCTAATGTGAAACCAGGCTAATAACTAGTTGATTTTTATCTAACATAAATCGTTTGCCAGAATTTGCTCCTCACGGCACACAAAGAGTTAAGATGATAATATTAGAAGTTCAAGTAAAAAAAATTAATGTCAGTGGAATGATGATTTACATTAGTGAATGATTTAATCACAAGTATTGTAATATTTGGTTCCCTCTAGACATTTTAGTGTCAGACAATGAATGTAAACATATGCCTAATGTTTAGTACACATTTTAGTATATGCATGTTTTCTATCCTTTTGACAGGTTGAGTACAGAAAAATTGGGAGATATTCAGACTGTGAATTTGGTGCGGATGTCGGTAAGCCCATAATCTAGGAACAAAGTATAACTAGCAATTTATCAGAGGGATTCAAGTTTGCAATTTCCAGATATTTTGATAAAGATTTGCTTTATTTTTCATGTTTGTTTTATACTGTAATATATTAGTAGGGGCATTGATTCAAGGGTATATTGGTCCCCTCCCCCCGTTACAAGTATTCACTTTAAACTTGATCAATCTAAAACTATATTGAAATCCCTGCCAACATGCATGGTACTTCAAACTTTCATTTTGATATGAAACCTGTGTTTTAAAGAACTTGTTATTGTGATGATTATGTTTTTTCATAACCAAACACCTCTTAACATACGGTAACCTAAAACCACATTCCAACTCTTAATTACCCTAACCCTTATCTTTGATGAATAAATAAAGCTTGCCGGAAATGTGGCCAGAGTAAGTGTAGGGTCATCCTTTGGACACATGACCAAAGAGAACACTCATCAGTAAAAGTAATTTTATCCACACTAAATGTATATAGCTGCTACCTTTCAAAAATCTTTTTTCTTTTATGTTATCCCAGGGAGGTGTGGCTAACAACATTGTTCCTATTGAACTGAGACTGCGCTTTGATCTCCGACTCTCCCCACAGCAAACACCAGAGGTAGAGAATCAAATGATTGACCACTACTTTTTATATAAATTAAATGCTTTATTCTGTCTTTCCTTCTTTCATTTTCATGAAGTTTCTCTACTTTCTTCTTATTTTTTCCATATTTTTTTCAGTTATCACCCCCATTCCTTTCGTCTCGAGCATTTTTTCTTCTTCTTTCTCATGTATAATGTTGTTTCTTTCTATGACTTCACTGAATTTGCTTATCTTTCCATTTATCCCTTTCCCATATCTTTTCTCTCCATTCAATAAATTCCAAAGGTTGTTCTTCTTCATTTGCATTAATCTGCCCCAAAAAGTAATTGCATATTTGGTTCGGAATAATTTATTCACTGTTTTATGATTTTGATTAAAATGTAAATGGTACGATAGAGAATTACATGATAATTCTACAATATAAACAAAAAAATAATTAGCTGTAAACAATTCAGGATGCTCGTTGTATATTTGGGAACGAATGTTTAAAAATGTAGTACTTTCAAGTTCCATTAGTCTTGATCAAAGATACTTTTGTATGAATTGTTTCCTCCGAACAATTAAACTCCAGCAAAAAATAATTTCTCTTTTTCTTTCTTCCTAAATAATCTGTGCATGTTTTCTGTAACTATATCTGAAGACTGTGCTTTGATTTGATTCACATTTGAAATTTTCCATCTTAAATCACTTGTAGTTTCTTGAGAACAAGATCAAGGAAATGATAGCATCTGCAGGGGAAGGTGTGTCCTTTGAGTGGATCAGGGTAAGAACTCACTATACTGTATTATGTTTAATAGCTCAGCCCATCTTGGAGCCGGAGATCTAGGTGCAATTGATCCCATTAGGACTTGATTCAGATAATCATTATTCATTATAAAAGTCAATGATTTGATGATTTACAGTAATTTCTGATGAATCACAACAAGTCAGGGCATCATAACAGGTCCACCTCTCCAGCACATATTGTGTTTTCTTAAGCACTTTTACTCAAGCTAGCCATTGGATTATTTGCAATTTTGCAAAACAAGAGAACGATGGTGGGCTAGCTAGTATAGATTAACTAGCATAGTGTAATAACCTAGCAAAACTACTTCATGTGATCTTTTCAATGTTGATTTCCTTGTTATTGTCTTAATATCTTCTGATTTATATAATGGCCTGAATAACTAACAGTCTAACTATGTAATCTAGTAAATTATCTGACTGAATAAGGTTTTCGTTTGCTCTTTGCTTTATAGAAAGGAGTCTGCTACTCAACACCTCTGGATGACAAAAATGTCTGGTGGCAAACCTTCAAAAAAGTTTGTGATGAGAAGTAAGTATTCACCAAGAAATGTTGCCCCCTCCCACACCTTAATTACCACATCCCCTCCTATTTGACCTCCAAATCAGACCAAAAAATTCTGCTGTAGTTTTATTACTGCGAACTTGTCTTTGGGGAACTTGCAAGCAGTCACACATTCACATTGTACAAATGTGTTTCTGTTTTATATATTTCTTTTAGAATGAATTTATTTTGGAATCAATGACTCGATCTGTTCCTTGACATCATCAAGATCATAACATAAAAATGTTGTAATAAAAAAATAATATATATTCAGACTTCACATATAATTCATGGTATATAATTTGTACAAGTATGTTAATTTTAACTTTCATGTTTGAACAGGCCTCTGGTTTATTCTTTCTATCATTCATGGCGAATTCATCATATACGCAGCGCGCGTAACAGCTGCACTGCTAAAGCCAGGGTAATTATGCTGCATTATTGTAGAGCGCTTAGAGACTTCTGACAAAGTAAGTGTTAGGCGCTATATAAGCACTGTAATTATTATTATTATTATTATTATTATTATATGTAGGCCTACTATATCAAGGTCCCTTGAGATATATAACATTTGATCTGTATATCCACAGTCAATACATATATATTGTATACTGCTATTTGCAGATTTTCAAGAACATATTCAACAAAATAATAGCCCTTTTGCTACAAAGGGTTACAAAATTTTCTCTGAATATACCCCTATTTTTTGCTTATCAAGTACATATTCACAATAAGTACCCTATATTCACAAAATTTGACTGATGTTATACAAGTTGCAGTTTCCTTATGAAACACATGACTCTTTAAGTGGAGTTTCTTCCTCTTTAAAACGAAAATAATCTTTTTTTTGGTCAAATTTTTGGTCATTAAAATGTTTGCGATCATCGAAAAAAATTACCCCTTTTTGAGAAATTTCTATCAGTCGATATGAAATAAAAGCACTGTGATATTATTATCCCGATGCAGTGACTTCAAATAGAACAAAATGCTTATTTTCTGTATTATTCAATTACTCTCATATACCTTCAGTATATAGCACCATCTTTCTGTTTTCCCTTTATCTCAACAGAAAGCTGGAATTGGAAACTGGGGTGTTTCAAGCAGCGACCGATAGCTGCTACATCCGAGCTTTGGGGATTCCTGTTATCGGATTCTCACCCATCAATAATACTCCCATACTTCTTCATGATCACAATGAATACCTTAATGAAGGCGTCTTCTTACGAGGCATCAACATCTATGAATCTCTCATTTCAGCCATAGCCATTGTGCCTGAGTAGTTGCTGCCTTGTTGCCCATGCCAGCACTATCATCAAACATTTTAGTATCAGCACTATGTACGTGTATCCATACTTTATTATTGCAACCACTATCTATACTGAAATACTGCAATTCCAGCCTTAAATCAAAACAATTGATTTAGGTAATATAGTTACTTTAAACTTGCAAGCAATCACACATTTACATTAAAGATGTACTTTTGGCATTATTTCAATTACAAGACAATACATATCCTGGTAATTAATATATTCCTGCACTTCAAATACATGTCCATGAATATGTATTTGCAAGTGTGATTATTTCAACTCTTTCAACATGTTTTGTAGTTCTGAAAACTAGACCTGTGCTATTTTGTTTCTATTTGATCATGGCCCATTCATATTGGTTATCAAGACATTAATCCACATTAATTTTGTGTCACTCGACCCTAGTGTAGTGATCAAGTGGGTATTTGTTTTATTCCTTGAATGCACGGAGTTCTACAGTTGCCGGGTAATAATATCCAAAGTACTTTGAAAGCACATAGAGACGTTATATCACAATGCGATATGCAAGTAATAGAACAGCATACTATTGTTATTACTGTGTATTATACAAATATACACTGCCTTGAGAGGTTCTGGTTAAAACTATGTGCAAGAGGTGACTCCAATATTTACTATAGCAAATGGTACTTTTGGATTCACCGAGGCCCATAGTTTAACCAGTACCTCAAATAGAAGGCATGGTGTATTTGTTTTATATCCTGCATCAAAAATCTATTTCAAAACAAAAACAAAAAAACAAAAAATTCACATTTTTGGGAAATAAAAATTTAGAACAAAAAAAATGTCAATTTTTATCTAAAAAGATTTAAAATATTTTGTTTTCATTAAATTAAGATTTGAAGAAAAAAAATTGATTCAATTCAAAAAAAAATTCACATTTTTTTTTCAACTCCCAAATAGTAAACCAAAATAGTACTCTCATATAGTACTTTCTAAAAATAGGTCAAATATTTCTGGTCATGTGACGAGCTCTCAACCAATCAAAAGCCAACAAATTTTTGATACAGGATATAATAGAACCTATAATGAATATATATTATGTAACACTAAGTGCCCCATCTCCTCCATCAGCATATAGTCCATCCTCATTTTCACTGATGTTTACTTCTTTCACTTGTGCATCTAAACAAAATGTATTTACTATTGTTAGTAATATTCGCAGAGGCACATGAGTAGATTTACAAAGGTTTTCTTCAGAAAATGTGGAGAAAATTGACAAACTTTGTTCATGAATATGTGTGCATACATGGTATATGTAATTTCTCAGCTCCCTAGGAGTTTGATATAATGAGGTTATACTGTACTTTCTTTGGAAGACTGGTCTGGATTTTAAAGAAGCCAGTTATCACTATGAATATGACTGACAAAGAAAGCGGACAAAATATACAGTTCGTCAGGTAGACAAAGGAACATCCCTTCACTGCTATTATGTAAAAAGGTGAATATGCATGTGAAACCTATTCTACACATTTTTACATAATAGCAGTAAAGGGATGTTCCTTTGTCTACCTGAGGAACTGTATATTTTGTCCACTTTCTTTGTCAGTCATATTCATGGTGTATATGTCTGATCTTATAACATGTAAATCCACATTCAAGAATAGTTTTACCAATTCTCTTGATTTTTGGTGAACACTGCAACATTAAAGAAAAGGCTGCCGATCACAATAAATTAGAGGTTTACCATCCGTATTTATTACTGCATACCGACTCTAACAAGATGCCAGCCATGAAGGGGAGACAATCAACTCTTTAAAAAATTGTATAATTTTTAAAATCTCTCACAGAGAGTGACATAAAACTATGGCACTGGCCTTTACCTTTAAGTATGTGTTCATTGTTTAGCACATTAGCACCATCTTTCTTTTCTCCTCTGTCAAATAGAAAGCTGGAATTAGAGACACAGGTGTGCCCAGGTGCAACCGATGCGAGCTATATCCGTTCTTTGGGAATCCCTGTTTTAGGATTCTCACCCATGCCTACCACTCCCATACTTCTTCATGATCACAATGAATACCTTAATGAAGGCGTCTTTCTCCGAGGAATCAACATCTATGAATCCATCATTCCAGCTTTAGCTAGTGTTCCTTAGTTTGTTGATGCTTTGTACCCATAGCAACAACCCCAGCAATATCATCCAATACTGCTGTACGAGAGCCTTAATTGTATGTGATACACACATATACAAGTTGCTTTTGATAGTATATACTAATTTTTAAAACTAATTGCCTTGGCCTTTACCAAGACAAATTTCTTCATGGTATTGAGATATCTCGAATGGCATCCCTATAGCTAATGCCCCAAAACACGAGTATTGATATGATACAACAGTGATATAATAACGACGTATTAAAAACTTTTATCATTGCAATTTTTTTTTAATGGCCTTTTTGTTCTTAACGGATCGATTGAGTTACTGAGGAAGGATACAAGCTTTAGAATTTAAAGGAATAGAATATCAGGGGTAATAAAAGCATGTTTATTTGTTATACCCATTATTGCATTTATATATCTGTCTCATTAAAGTTACACACCATGAATTTTTGTCCATTCTAGTCATTTTCAAACTTGTGCGAGATCAAATTTAAGATAAATCCATTTGGGACAATTCTGTCCAGATTGTAGATATTTTCAATACCACATTAATCTAAATTGAAAAGTATGAAAATATTATCAAGAGACTGATACTGCTTGATAACAAAATATATACTATTTTGCCAACATTTGTACCCATATCTACCTATTTTGTAGATTTGTTAATCATATATCTATATTTTGAAAAATTGCCAAATGTGTGTATATACTTGCCTATCCTATTTTTGTCAGGGGATTTTAATTTGTGTATTGGAAAGCAATATGTGTTCAATTTGTTGTTTGACTATGTTATTTGAGGTGAATTACATACAAATAAATGCTGATACACATATATAATAAATGTTTTTTACCAGATAAGCCAATGTTTTTTGTTTTTTATTTTTGTCTTCCCAGAAATAGTATGTTTTGTTTTAGTTAATCATATTCATATCCCTTCTCTGTCTCTGTCTCTCTCTCTCTGTCTCTCTCTCTCTCTCTCTGTCTCTCTCTTAATGTCATATACATGTAGTAGACCAAGTAACTTGTATTCATATTTTAAGCATTCTTCATGAAAAAGAAATGTTTAATAGAAAACAGCCAATGTTCATGTAAATATGGATATATGTAATAACTCCAGAAAACTCGTAACAAGTGCACCATTTTACTTGTGGTTCGAAGAAGGAACATCCATACATTTGAATACATTAATAAGTTTGTCTAGGAATAGTTCAAAAGATTCAAAAAGAAAAGAGATACAAAATTCGATATTTTTTTTTTCTTGAAACATCTTCTTTTTTGTCTTTTACCTTTACACAAGGATTCAAAGTAAACAATACTATAGGTAAACATTCATTAACACATGTCTGTAATTACAGAACACCATATTAAAAGAATTTAGTTGACCCTTGCATTGCAAATCAAATCGATAGAAATACATTAGAACACTATTTAGGTACAAAATGTGTTTTTACGCATCTTAGATATTGATTGTAAAGACTGTCTTATGAAAGTAACTTCATTATCAAAAGAATTTATTTGACCCTTGCATTGCAAATCAAATCGCTGGAAAATACATTAGAAAGCTATTTAGATACAAAATATGTTTGTAGTGAAGACCATCTTATGGAGCCCAAGGCAGACATTACTGGCCAATAAGAAAGAACAGCAATTCTTGAATTTCTGATTCAATTGTGTACATAAGCTTTTTGTTTTTAATGTGTTAAACATATAATGCAAAATAGATGATATTGACATATTCCTGGGTCAAAAAAGTGACGCACAGTAATGCTTCAATCCTGCTTTCTATGAAATTCCTGAATACCTAACAACAACCTTAATAAACATTATCTTGTTTATTTTACTGCAATTAAGAACTGACTATTCTTGCAAAAATGTTCTTCAGAACCAAATTAAATAGTGGGCAATCTTACTTTGGAACAAATCAAGGAATAAACATACCTTGTTTCTTTTTTAATAAAATCATACTAAAGTGACTTTCAATGATTGATTATACAATACAAAATGAAACTTTTCATATGGAACTTAATATTCATTATCACTTCTGAATAAAAGAAAATAGTACAAATAACACTTTTTGCCTTATAATCTTACTTCATTCAGAAGATTCTAAAACTTAATTCTAAAATAAATTTTATCCTATTTTGGTTCAAATACAAATGATAGTACATGTATATGAATCAAATGGCAAAAGAAAAGACAATATATCTCATGCACCATAACCAGTGGCAGATATGTAGAATAATGCATGTTAGAATTCTCAAGGTTAAAAATTGGATACCTGGTAACCCAAAATTGAGCAATGGCATTAATATCTTCCTACTAGTATTTCTTCCTAGATCAACAATGAACATCTGAATTGGTACATGAAATAAAAACCCAATCGATCAAAAACATGAGATCATAAAATGATGGTTTAGGACAACTCCCTTACAGCTACTAGTAACTTCAAGAGAAAATCCCAAGACCCCCCCCCCCCCCTCCCCCCCCCCCCCCAAAAAAAAAAACTCCACATGAACACAAGAGAATATGGGAGAGATCTTGAGTAAGTTAGGGGGGGGCGGGTAAAAAAAAATGCACGAGTCTCATTATTTCTTGCTAAAGAGAGGAAAATATCAAACTCCAATTTAAGCCCCCCCCCCCCCCCCCCCTCAAAAAAAAATACAAAATACAAAACAAAGGCAAAATTAATTATCTCAGCATAATATAAACTTCAGGTCCAGAACATACATGAAAGATAACGAAAACAATTATTTACCTGATTTAGCTAGGTTTATGGAAATGCTTCTTAATGTACAGTTAGAAAACAATGTTCCCTTTGTATAAAGTACACCGGTCTTAAATCTGTGCTTTCTAATAGATTACTTTGTTTCCAACATTTTAAGTTCAAATGTGAAATTATACACATTTTCATTTAAACAATGATAATGCCACAAAGTAAAGCTTCAATACAGAACTAAAAACCCTGAGAAAATAACATCAAACATGATACATATCATATATTCTCAGATCAGCTAAATTCAATTGGAGTGTACCCTATAGCAAACAACCATTTACTGGATTCATGAAGTAAGGATTCTCAAACGAACACACACAAATACCTCAGTGAATAACAATATAACATACCGGTACATAACAATGCATTCACTGCCCCCTCCCCCCCCCCCCCATCCCATTCTGAACAACTGAATTTCAATTTGGCGAGAAAACAAGCAAGTGAAAAACTCCATGTAGTTAATATCATCATATCAGAAAAAGTTCTAAGACTAAGATACTAGCACAAAATTTCTCTAATACATGTACCTGATCAACTAAAGCTATTTTCTTTACATCTGTTGGTTGAATTTTCTACAAAAAAAAACTATTTCATCTTCAAGGACATATAACTAACTAATCAATGAAGCAATATCATAAGCTAATAGCAAGTGACCACATGTTATCTTACTTTTAGAAAGAGAATGGACTAGCAAAAGTTGATACTTAGGTCCTGTACATCGACAATGTATTGGATCTCACATAGGAAAGGACGTCGACTGAGGGTGGCTCCTAGCACAAGGAAAGGACTAGCTGAAGTCAATGATTGAGCTAAATGCCATACATTGTCATTGTATTGGATCTCACATTGGAAAGGACATCGTCGAGGGTTGTTCCTCGTAGCTGAGCAATCCGCTCTGCAACCAGGAGAGCCATGCCAGGATGAGACCACCTACGTCCTTTAACCTAATCAGATACAAATGAACAAATACAAACAATACTCACAAGAAATAATGTAAGCTAAAGGCTCATAAAAAGCCTTAACAATTGCCTGAAAAAAAATGCTGCACCATGATAACAAAATTACTACCAACCTCTCAATGCTAATTGTAGTATTACTGAATAAAACTACTTCATGAAGTATCATTTAGCTGCCTAAAACACATTTAAAAGAAGCAAACAGCCATTAGACCTATGAATGAACACAAACAGGAAACTTGGAGCACAGATATGGAAGTACATGTATATCAAATCGTTTTTCTCTTCAACCTATTATTACACCATCTTCAAAAGAATACATTGAACCTAAAGCTTCAAAGGCAATACAATGCAAATCAAATATTGAATATTAGAAATGAACCATTGGATATGATTTGATTTTGGTATACCATGCATCGTGCATCATACGTAGACTCCAGCCTGATTATCAAAGATTTGGTATTAAATGGGTTAATGAAAGATCCAAACCTTTCTAGGAACAAAGTAAGGTGTGTCCGTTTCTAGTAGGAGCCTGCTGAGAGGGATAGCTCGAGCTGTTTGGTGTGTGTTGGTAGCTGTCGGGAAGGTCACTAGGGCAGTCAAACCAATGAAGGAGTTCGGGAAAGCCCTCAGAAATGCGCTGAAATCAAGCAAGATGCACAGAATGACAAGATAAAATGGACACGGTATATAAGATTCTCCCATAACCTTTCATATCATTTCTAATACACATCACAGTATACAAAGGGCCTGAGAAAATCTAGTTGAATCTATGGTGTAAGTCGATCGACTGTAGTTGCCTATTTCCTTGAAGAGCGGTAGTCCCAAGGAAAATAGGCTATTGACTGAAGTCGCTGAGACGGACTCTTAGTCTTAGATTCACCTAAATTTTCGAATAAAGGCCCTATATATTTTGTATATATCCCTCATCAAACTTTAGATCTAGATTTAACAACATTATAAGAAATGATTTGGGAAACAAGGGGCAGTCGGAGGGAAAATAGTACCAAAAAAATTTACAGAATATTCTACTCTTGAGAAGTGTGATGTCACACCTATATTTTCCTCTGCATGTGAAATCATCTTTTAGTGAAATTATGAACAATCACATGAAGAGCTCTTGACCAATCCTTGAACAGGAAATTTTCCACGAGGGATATAATAGTTTCTGTGTGTTTAAACAAAAAATCAACTTGGCTTAATCAAGCTTGGTAGGTAATTTAGTCATATGGTATTGAAGACATCAAGTGCCTTTGAACTACAACTAGGAAAGTAGAGACAAAAACTGCATACATTAAGCCCTCCACTGTGATGAAAGCACAGAAAGGCATATAAATTTGATATAGCACAACATGCTGGGTTCTCTCCAGTGTAATACACCCTAATTAATAATACCAATTATAAGGGATTTAAGAAAAATGAAATACCAATCGCAAATTCTACAGACAAGGGTACTGACAATAGGAAATAATAAATGTATGTCAATGCATACTTTCAATTTGCCAATTTTTTTTATCCTCCCACATCAACCCCCTGGGATCCTGTAAGACCACAATTTACTTAATTCAGACTAAGGGTAAACAATTACCTGTAGAGAAGCCAAACAAAAGGTATAGGTGTTAAGTTGTTGGTCCTATATTTCTTCTTGGCTTCATTTTGTTAAAAATTAAGGTTTAGGGATAACATTTGGATTTGGATTAGGTTAAGGTTTAGACTTACGGTGAGGGTTAGTGTTTGGTGTAGATGATGTTAAGAATTTGGTTTGAGTTTGGTTTAGGTTACTGATCACTGACTAATTGTGGCTGGAGCTTTATGTTGTAAGACCAAGAAACCCTCTTACATGGCATCTTGGGGAGGTCCGGTGAAGCAGTGGCGATGTATCTTGTGGTTCCTGGGTACCATCTCGGACATGATGCTGAGGGTGTCTGCCTCCGCGTCCCTGCAGTGAATTACTAGGGGCTTCTTGGTGTCCAAAGCAATCTGCAGCTGACGTCGGAAGATCATCTTCTGAAGCTCGTGGTCCGATGTGGTCTCCAGTGGCCTAACATGATAAAGCCAAATTATTTCTGCAACTTATATTCTATATACTTTTACCAATGACTGTAGAGGTGAATGTCTTATTTACAAAGCTTGTCAAAAATACTTCCATAATACAATGTACAGTATATACAAACTTCCTTCAATTGTTTTTCTTGAAGCCAGAAATAAACTCCTCTACAAATTTGACCATTAAATCTATAACTCTCTGTTTAACAACAGATACTCAATATATGTTGTACATTCATCTATTTCAGCATGGATTTGCCATAGTCCGATTACTATTCTCCTGCAACTTCATGCACTTCAAAAAGTGTACATTTTTTACAATACCAAACAGAACCACAAAAAATTATTACAAAAAAACTGTAAATAAAATCATGTATCTTCCATTCCTGTTTAAAGAGTTCTTGAAACATGTGATTAATCTGACAAATAGAAGATCAGATATCCTGTTTTCCAAAAATACCATGATCAAAGTAAAGTACTCATATTCACCTGTCAGAGTAATCTAATCCAATCTCTCCGAGTGCAACAGTCTTTGGATGATTCATCCAGTCCTTGATCTTCTGTTCCATGATGCCATCATAGTGCTTCACCTGGTGTGGATGGCAACCAAACGATCCCCAGATGTTGCTTTCCTTCAGCAAGTTATCAGCAAGAGAGTAGTGGATTGAAAAGTTGACAGGGTAACAGAAGATGGCCACACATCCTGCAAAATTAGTTGGAAACTTGTTGACTAAGCAGAACTTTGCAAATGTGCCCTTGAACATGTGCCGTTGAAAGAGCAAGTCAATGTGGGCATGAGTGTCCAGATAGTCTATATCACTTGTAGGGTATTGGATCTCTAAAGAATCTTCCACCTCTTTGGATGAGCGCCATGAGCTTATTTTTGGTAATGCCTCTCCTCGCACTTCATCTTCTAGGCTGAGTCGTCTTGGTCGCTGAAGGATCTCTGCGAATGTCTTCTGTCTAGGGGATGCTGAGGCTGGGCGGGTAGGGGGTGCTGAGACTGGGCGGGGAACTGGTGTGAGGTTGTATGTGCCCCATCCTTGAGATCCTGCAGACCAGTTCCTTAGCTTGTTACTGGTATCTGTGGTAACAGGACTTGGGGTTCCTTGCCAGAAAGGACTCTTTTGTGGCTTTTCTTTGGTAATCCCATTATTATTCTGAGGACTTACAAATTCTACAAGAGGACGTCCAGATCCCCAGCCACTTTGAGGAGCTGTGACATCAGGATATGACTTCCTCCTTCTCTCTTCCAGATGGGCACTTGAAATGAGATTTACTCTCTTCTGACCACCAGGCTGCTCAGTGCTTTTGGCAGACACCACAGCAGCATATGAAGAAGGTGGCAGTGGGCCGACACGAGGTTGATTGCCTGGCGCTGACACATAATTCCTTGCTTTCTCTTGCCTCTGCATTGGCGAGTCTTGTGTCATCTGCTTGAGACTCGATCCCCAGATTTTGCTTTTCCGCCGGGCATTACCAACACTAGTTGCTGGGGTTTCCAGGGCATGATTATACCAGTTATAGTTTGGTTGTTCTACAGAGTCCATTTCCATCCCTTCTGAGAAGTTAGAGAGTGTAGCTCTGGGTGCTGGTTCGCAAGGGCTTGGAAGATAGGAGCCAACCTCATCTTCAGTAGATATGAAGTCACTCTGGGTTTCAAGGTTCTCAGTGTCTTCCTGGATGTCTGGTAAAGGAGTCTGGAGCAGAGGTGACTTCTGTTCCCAAGATGCATTTGGACCTTGTTTCCATGTATCACTATCCAAGTCCTGGGAAATATATGATTGATTTCCTGAGGAGTCAAGGTCTGAAACAAAAACCTTGTTGTCTTCGCACACTGCATTTTCCTGGCCCCTGTAATCTCTATCACCATATGCATTCACATCATAGGCTGCATTCATGCTCTGCATATAACAAGTGTTCCCTGAAGCTGATTCATCAACAGTGTAGAAACTATCCTGAAACTCATTTCCGGGAGATTGAACAGGTTGTGTAGGAGGAATTGACTCTGCTTCTGGTTGCATACATCTGGGAAATCGATGAATGATTGGGTATCTGGAAATGGCATCTGGATGAAATCCTCTCATCATGGCAGGTCCATAGAAATAAGGATCTTGCATCATTGGCCACATAGGAGGACCATAAGGGAACGATGGTCTCATTGGAGGATAAGCATGATTGTATGGCATGTATGTGGTCGGAGGATAAGAAAATCTTGCTCTGAAATCTTGCCTGAAGGATAAGGGAACATTCATCATATTTTGATCACTCTGCTCTCTTTCTGGCGGAAATTCTGGTGGAAATGGATGTCTTTCTTGAACGTCCTCTGCATCTACACCATCTGCTGAGAGCTTCTTCACAACATTGATCCAGTTTTCATCATCAGTGAGTGAATCATCCGCTTGACAACTGTCATAATCATCTTCAGCATATTTACTCATGCATTTAGCTTGGGTATTTGGTCTAACCACCCCAACTTCAATCTCATCATTCTCCTTTGACTCAGCTCTAGCATAACCAACTTTTGTTTCAATATCTTTCAAGGATTTGGTAGCAGAGTTATTCCCTTTCTTCTGTCTACAGTTCTTTGACCTCTCCCCTTTGTGAGATGCTGCATTTGTATTTTGCTCAGTGTCATCATCAGTACTGCCTTGGTATTCTGGAATCGATGCTGCCCTTTGCTTCTTTTTAAGTTTCCCTTTCTTCTTCGCACTACCTTGGTTAAAAACCGAATAGGTCCAAGAATCCGACTTTGATTTGCTAGGTAAACGTGGCCCCATTTTGCAGCCAGCTGTAGGACTGCTGCAGCTTCCTACTCCTCTTGATTTATACAAAGCATGGTCCTGTTGTCCTTCTCTGCTCTGGAATGTGTCTTCATCTGATGTGCAGGTACAGTTCTCGGTTACAGCACTAGATAGGCAGTCAACCACTTTATCTCTGAAGACTTTTCTTGGTGTCACCTGTTTGAACTCATCGTCACTCGGTAACCCAACATCCCAGTCTGGGTTCTTGGAATGCTGTGTACCAGCCTCTGAACATGGGTATGACTCCTGCACCAGCATCAAACCATTAGAGTTTTCAGTAGTAGTCCTGTCACTGTCAATCTGCTCTTTGTCCATATCTGGTGCTTCATATAAAGTATTCTGCCTCCTGTTTAACTGAGCAAACCTTATCTCTTCATCCCAGTTCTCTCCCTCTGACACACTCAATTTCACTTCAGCTCTTATTTCTTTTCCTGTCGATATGCCATCATCTCGAGAGAAGGGGAAAATTCCAGCAAGGTTCTTCTTACATTTTTTCTTGATGAGAACTTTTGATTTATTCTCGTCATTGTTTTCCATCTCTGTGCAGCTCCGCTTGGATGATGAGCTGGATCCAGGACTCAGAACCTCTTCTTTTGTGCATGGTTTAGAACCTATTCCCACCTCAAGCTCGGGTAGTGTGTGGAACCTTTCCTGGGGTGAAAGTTCTCTGCCCTCTGGACTCAAGCCATCAAAAGTTCTTGGTCTCTGAGGTGGTTGTCCAACCTTGCTTGAATTCTGTTGGGATCGATACTGAAACCTGCCTCTGCTCCCACCCCAGCCTTGACCTCTTCCTCTTCCCCTTCCTCGTCTCTTAGGATTGCCCCGTTCCCGTGATTGGAATATGAAGCCTCCCCATTCTGCCATGATATTTTCTGTAGTAATCTGAAAAGAGATAATACACAAAAACCTAACTTTTACTCCTTCATACATGTACATGTACATTTACTTTGCATTGAATGGTGTTTAACTCACCATACATGTAGTGCCAAGACAGCAAGTATGGAACGCGTAGCAGATTAATATTGACAATGATAACAATCGTAACAGTGATACATTTTTTTTAAAGCTCAAAATATAACATAGATGACACTCTTCCAAAGAGCTTTAGAAATCTATCACCATAAGTTTTAGCCTGAGCTGCCATTACTAATGAACCACTGCACAAAATTAAAATTTGAAATAAAAAAAGAAAAACTTTGAACATTCTTTAAGATATGAATTCATGTTGTGCAACATTATTATTTAATAGTATATTTATTCAAAACCTGTCTCTCCGCCTAGGCTGAAATGTACTATTCTTTTTACAAATAAAAACAAAAATGCATATAAGACAAAGCGATACGTACATGTACACTAGACTTCTATACCAACTTATTATAAGGAATAAAAGAATGATACGGGAAGTGGTATATTAAATGTGAATCATAATTATTAATTAACATGATTAATCTAATCTAATACTAATTTTCTGTACTAAGGAAGATCTGAAGAGACTGTTGATTTAAAACAGCAATTGGAAGAAATTTACAAGCAATATTTCATAAATGTTGTAAGAATTATGCTGGACAATATCATGATGGTTACCGGTATTAAACAAAAATAACCATCTGGTATGGGTCATTCTTTAATAAAACTGACATTTGTCAAGAGGCGGTCAAATCAGGGAGGTGAAAGAAAGGAGTCGAAACTCTTGTAATTTATTCAAACACATTTGTAGTTCTAAAGCGTAACAATGGATGTGTAACATTCCACTTGGCTTTGAAGTTCCATGCTCCGACCTGCGCTTCCACTGCGGGGACTTTCGGAAGCCAGGCACCAGTTTTACATTTATTACAAAATATTAAGGGCAAAATTTCACTGTAAATCAAAAACTTTATATGGGGATTTTATTGGGAATAGTGCATCAAACAAAGTTTCAAATTTAGAACTCCATTCTTCCTATAATTTTTGTGTGCCAGAGTTGGTAAAAGAAAAATTACATCCTGACAAAAACTCAATATTTTAGGATGGTGCGCTAATTTGTGCATGCTTTAATGTCCCGTTATTTGATCCATGATTTACAATTTTCAACAACATTCAGTTTGCTAATGCGTGTTTTCACGTGTTTTTTGTATTTTTCACGTTAAAAAAGGATGAAATTACACAAGTTTGTGTTCGCTTGTCCTACTCTTTACACATTCAACAACGCATGAGAAATCATTGGAAGGGACAGCGAACAGTTGCTGTGATACCATTTTCTGAAGTAGGAATTCTAAATCCTGAAATTTCATGCGCTCTTTTATCTCACCACCTGGTCAACAGTTGCAGGTTAGCGCATAACTTTTCGGCAGGTTGGAGCATGGGGTCAAAGGAGAGCGGCTTGATTCCAGTCCTTCTCTATCATCAGGTCCCTGGTCAGATGCAATCTCAGCGAAACAATCATCGATATCAGAGACTGAAGCTTTCGATCTAGATCTAGTAGATCTAGGCTAGATGGTTACCGGTAGGCCTATTTTTTATTGGAGTATTTGATGAATATTTTTTGATAAATTAGAAGGCAAAATGGAAGTCTTTAGACTTTAAGAAAGAAAACGATTTTATGTTTGTTAAGTGAAGAAGTGTCCAGACAGACACCCCCCCCCCCCCCCCCCCCCCCCCCCTCATATCATCCAGCAATTCCTTCCTGGTACGTGTCTTCCAGGATAGGGCAAACTTGTCAAAATTGTGCCGCCTGAGTTTTCCCGCCAGGGCTCACTCATGGGACCCATCTTTTGTGATGGTGCCTAGCTATAGGGCTAGGTATACTAGGCGCGTTACGGTACGCACGTTTCACAGTCGATCATTCTCACGATCAAATAGCTAGTAACCTCCCGATCATCCAAGCCACACATACAACACACGAGCGCTCAAAATCGTTCTTCACTTCAGTCAGGACTGATTTTACTCAGGAGAAGTCACTTTCCCTTTTCTTTAGATCTCTCCCTACTTCTCCCGTATTAATCACGCAAAAATAATATATTGTGCACACATACCTTCACTTTAACAATGCCGGGAGCTAATGGAACTGACTTGGAAATTACAAAATTGTAGACATTCTAAAGGCACAGCGCAGCATATTCTCAAAGAATTTAATTCAGGCGCTTTATAGAAGGCATGGCAGCGCATGTGCATTACGATCACTGCACGCGAACCAGCTCAGCTCGCTCTATATTACGTAACAGTTCGGGGAAGAGCCCAGGCAGAAAGAGGAGGGGGAATAAAACAGAGTCACAAATAGAGAACATTTTCTCTTTTTAATTTTTTTTTTATATTCCTTTCCTGACACTATTCGATGATTTCTTGTTCCTATTTAATGAAGCGGCGGGGAATGTCACATATTAATTACGGGGATGTGCCGGCTCGATAAATGGGTCACTTTTTCACAAAGAATCCCTCAAAATCCCCCCGAAATAACCCTTAAAAATAGGTAGGGGTTTCGAGGCTTGAGCGGCACTGACCGGATCTGAGAACCCCCCCCCCCCCCCCCCCCCCCCCCGTCAAACGTCCTGCAACAGTTACTATATTAAATTAATGGTTAAACGAATCTGGTCGGCTACGGAATCTGTAGGGCAATGACAGAGAGCTTCAATTGGCGCATGATAGCTAGGCTACCGTAGACGTGGGCCCACACATTTTCCCGAGGTGCCCACCCCCCCCCCCCCCCCGGGGGGGGGGGGAGTTGAAAGGAGATCGTGTGTCGTCAGGTTCCATGTGTGACCAAAGCCATCATTCGCTGACGCCCAAAAGTACCTTTTTTCTAAGAGTATAAGCTGGAGCTGGCCCCCCGCAGCTAATTCCTATGCATATCATTTTGGTTTGAAAATCGTTATTATCACAATTTCGATTTCCCAATATTATTTAGAACTGTCTTCATGTTGTTGTCCTCTCTTGAAATGATATTACAGCTCCGACCTATAATTTTTTTTCCTGTTAGGGTATTGAAAGTGCTTGTCCTCCCAGATACAAGTATGTCCATAAACGCCATTATCATCCTCCTCAACACCATCACTGTCATCTTCTTCATTATAATTAGGGCCTATAGGAGGTCATTATCAGCACTATCAATCTCTTAACACCACCATCATCACTTTCATTCTATTTAACGCCATCATAAAATTCCCATGATTGACATTTCTACCTTCTGCGTTTCCTAAATCAACACCTTCATTTTTTACTAGAGATAGAGAATAATAATATATTATGAGAGATAGAAATGAAGAGTGATTGGTAGAAGAGGTAGAATATTAGGAGAGGTAGGATAGTGGGAGAGATAGAATAGTAGGAGGGGTAGAATGAGAGGTAGAATAGGATATATAGAATGGTAGGAGTCGTGGAGAGGTGGGATAGTAGGCAGGGGCGTCGCCAAAGGGGGTGCGACACCCCCCCCCCACCCCACGTGTCAGGATATTGTCGGTAAAATTGCGCTGCCGTCGGGAAAAAAAGAGAAAAGGGGGAGGGAAAAAAGAGAGGGAAAGGGAAAGGAAAAAAAAGAAAAGAAAAGAAAAGAAAGAAAGGAAAGAAAGGAAATAAAAGGAAAAGAAAGGAAAGAAAAGAGAAGAAAGAAAGAGAAAAAAAGAAAAAGAGGGAGGAAAGGAAAGAAAGGAAAAGAAAGAAAAGAAAGAAAAGGAAAAAAAGAAGAAAAGAGAAAAGGGAAACAAAAGAAACGGGGGGGGGGAGGGGGTAAAAGAGAGAAGAGAGGGGGAGGTAAGAGCCTGAGAAAGGAGGAGTGGGAGTAAAAGAAGGGGGGTTGTTGGGTGGAGTCGTCTCGTCAAGGAAGCAAGAAAGACACGGGTAAATAGGTTGCTGTGTCGGGTCAGCTGTGTCAGTATTCTTGCTCGATCGTCATGTACTAGATCAATGCAGAAGTTTGAAGTCGGTGAGATGTATATTGTTGGTCGGCCGACAAGTTTTTTTTCCCTACGAGCTGTGACTTTTTATCCGCTGTGACGACTTTGAGAGTGACTATAACTAGAATACTTGTATTTTCTCGAAGTTTCACTTTCCTATGATATCAGCTAAAGAACTCAGAGGTTAACATTTTTCGGGGTAACTAAATGGTACAACGAATCGTCTTCTTTCTCTAATAATTTAATGAAACGTCAAAACTTCCGCACTTCGCGCGAGAGGGGGAAACTTCATTTTAAACAAGGATTAAGAGTCGAAAATGGTACAACGAATCGTCTTCTTTCTATAATAATTAAATCAAACGTCTAAGCTTTTCGCACTGGAAGGGGGGTTTAAACAAGGATTAAGAGTCGAAAACGGTACAACGAATCGTCTGCTTTCTCTAACATTTAAGGAACCGTCAAAGCTTCCGCGCTTCGCGCTAAAGGGGGAAACTGAATTCAGACAATTAGGGCTTATTAAGAGTTGAAAACGGTACAACGAATCGTCTTCTTTCTATAATAATTTAATGAAACGTCAAAACTTCCGCGCTTCGCGCGGGAAGGGGAATACTTCATTTAGACAAGGATTGAGAGTCGAAAACGGTACAACGAATCGTCTGCTTTCTCTAACAATTTAAAGAATCGTCAAAGCTTCCGCGCTTCGCGCTAAAGGGGGAACTGAATTCAGACAATTAGGGCTTATTTATGAGTCGAAAACAGTACAACGAATCGTCGTCTTTCTCTAATAATTTAATGAAACGTCAAAACTTCCGCGCTTTGCGCGAGAAGGGGAGAACTGAATTCAGATAAGGATTAAGAGTCGAGAAAAGAACACCGAATCGTCTGTTTTTTCTCATAATTTAATGAAACGTCAAAGCTTTCGCGCTTCGCGTGGGAGGGGGGGGGGGACTTCATTCAGACAAGGATTAACAGTCGAGATCGGTACAATAAATCGTCTTCTTTTCCTAATAATCTAAGAAAACGTCTAAGCTTCCGCGCTTTGCGCGGAAGGCCTAACACCAACACCCCCTAATGTGATTCGCTTGCTCACTACCGCTCCTCCCTAAAATAAGATCCTAGCTCCGCGCCTGCATTAAAATATATAGCTATGATGTTTACTAAGTAATGTTGACGAAATGTTGTCGAGGAAAATGATCATTTGCGCATACGCAGGTTCTATAGGAAAAAACAATTTAGCCTTCGGCCCCGGGTTTAAATGTGTAGATATTGGGACATTTAATTTTGTCGGTAATTGGTGGCTAGTTTTGTCGGTAAGCGTTGGCCTCTACACCCCCCCCCCCCCCTCTCCCACTGAAAAAGGTCTAGCGACGCCCCTGATAGTAGGAGAGGTCAGATGGTAGGAGATGGAGATGGAGAATGATATAGAAGAGGTAGATTTGTAGGGGTAGAATGATAATAGGGAATCGTATACCATAAATGAGAGAACGATGAGAGAGGTAGAAGGAAATCTCATTGATTGCAGATAGGAATTACTGTTAAATATTCTATACGTTTTCAAAAAGAGATGAGATTTCCATGTGAAAGGAGCACATTAATATCAATAAGCTATCACGTTTTCAGATCCAGATCAATCATGTAATTTTACAGAGCCTGTTAATTCCTACTTCAACCTCAACCGAGTAATTTCTTGATATTACAACTCCTCGCATGCACTGGCGAATATTATTTAAGTAACGAAGATGCCCCTCCATCAAAGCTCGCCGCAGTCCACAAGATAATGTTTGTATGGCTCTGTGAAAGATGCTCAAATGGTTTAGTCTCGGAACCTTCCCCGAAATTGTTGCCCTATTATCGAGTCAATGACATTCCACCTCAGTCATTGGCAAAATTAGCTTGCAATAGACTAACCGTGGCCTTCTTCTGATTAGACCCATATCGGGTCGATTTCACCCCATCCAGTGGCGTAGGTACGGGGGGTCACAGCAGGCGCGGATGGGGGGGGGGGGGGCGACGGTCCCGCCCCCCCCCCCCCGGCTTTTTGAAAAAAAATATTTATAGAATATATATATATATAGTAAGTGATCACACAATCCGCCCCCCCCCCCCCCCACTAAACAAGAAAATTGAATGGATGAGGACCGGATCGACCACTCTCGACTGCCACGTGGTTCAGATTTTTTTTTTTTTTTTTTTTTTGGGGGGGGGGTGGGTTTGGGTTTTTGTTTTTTATATGTAGGCTTCGTAATTGTTTTGTGTTTTAATTTTTTATTACGATAAGATTTATTCATTCAAAATAATTGAGTGTGTATATTGTTACTCTATATGTTATGTTATTTGAAATAATTTGTGTAATTCGGAAGATGAACATGTATTGAATGAATACAATAAAAATTAAAAAAACATACGGGAAAAGAGGCAGAGAGAGTTGTCCTTAACAATTTAAATACAAATTTGTTATATCCCCTCTCGGCCTATAGTCAATCTGCCCCTTCAAATTTCGAACATCTAGTTTACCAACCGGAGTGCCGCGAGAGTATTTTAGTTATATAACAAACAAATTGGAATAACGTCAACTTCAGAAATTGCAGGATTACATATATAGAAAAGTCTAGCTAGGTATTTTCAAGAAGAAATAACATTTCTGAGATAGTAAAGTGTATTTTTGTTTTCATTTTGATGATTGTGGGATTGGGTGACGCGGGGGGGGGGGGGGGGTGGTTGAAAAACGCTGATCTAGTAAAAACACCCGGACCCCCACTTAGTGTTATTTAGGGTACGCGTATGCTCGTTCCCTCTTTTTGAAAGCACCCCCTATCTGAGGACTGCGAACATTTCCGAACCCCCCTTTCGCGGGCTTTTCGTCGGCTTTTCTTAGCTGCCTTGGAGACCCCCCTAAAAACGGAAAAATGCTCAATGTACCCCCCTAAATTCGGAATAATTTCTCTGGAGTCCAAAGAGATGAGAGAAAAAAGAAAAACACCCCCTTTTTAAAGAAATCTCCGGGTGAAAAGTCAAATACACCCCTTTTATTACAATTCTCGGGCCGGACTTTGTCGCACGAAAAGTACCCCTTTACCGGACATTTTGGTAACACGCATGCGGTCATTCCGACCCCGGAGTGGGGGGGGGGGGGGGGGGGGGGGGGGGGGGGGGGGGGGGGGGGGGGGGGGGGGGGGTAAACAGTACACATGAAGACTGACGCCCCGGCCCGGCCCCCCCACTCAGTGTTATTTAGGGTACGCATATGCGTGTTCCAACCGACCCCCCCTTTTCAGCAAAAGTCCGGTGTGTAAAGTCAATACGGCTCGACCTTTTTCTTTTGTATACGAGCCTTTTTCCGCACCCCCCCTTTTCAGCAAAAGTCCGGTGTGTAAAGTCAATACGGCTCGACCTTTTCTTTTGTTACGAAAAGGACATTTTGGCAACACGCATGCGGTCATTTTGAAACCTGAGTGGGGGGGCCGGGGCGCCCCGGCCTAATGACAGATCCTACGCCACTGACCACCTCGATCACCAACCAAACTTTGTAAAAAGTATGATATAGTATATTCACTATAAGCATTTGTTCAATTACGCTTATTTGTGATTTTTATTTCATTGCTCGGGGACCTATTAAAAAAAATTGACTAAAATTTGAAGAAAAAGGTAAGGTTATAATAATACAAATCGATCTTAATAGAGTCCGAATAATTAAAATGCCTTTGATGTTGTTGTCGGTTTTCGTGGAGATTGCCGTCGGTGATTCTCGCAAGGCAGTGCGAGAGGGCGTTAATTTGCTTACGCCACTGAACTGCCGCTGGCATATATTTCCAGTTCAGTGGTAATCCCACTGAAAAATCGAATTTGATTCGTCCGCCTGCTCAAATCACGTGATGTGCATCAATTGACCATTCAAAGAAACCGCTGAAGGATATCGCACTCACGAATCAATCGTGTTTAAGAGGAAAAGCAAAAAAATCTGTCAGTCTCTGCAAGATTCTCTCAAGTCGCATAGAGTTTTTGACTTAGCTTTTGCTCCGTTCTTCGTTCTTCGTCGTCGTTATCTTGCCTCGTGCTTATTTCACCTGTGCCATAATCCCTTCATAATGCCATCGGCATTCGATCTCCCTGTTAAGGCTAATCAACCAAACCGTACAGCTGGAACTGTGTGGAGCTGGAACTGTGTGGAGCTGGAACTGTGTGGAGCTACACAGTACAGGAGCGGAGGATAGGAAGACGCCCCCTGGTCGTGATGACCAAGAGTGCTGGGAACACCGTCAGTAAGTACAAAATAATATTCGAAATAATAAATAAATTTACTAACCAATAAGGACATGGTTGATTACAGGCGCGGATCCACGGGCTCAATTCTACGGGCCCGGCTATGGCAAGCCCATTGTGTAAAAACTAGATAAACTCTGTTTTTCTCAGATAAACTCTGTTTTTCTCAGATAAACTCAGTTTATCAACAGATAAACACAGTTTATCAGAAAAACTCAGTTTATCACTTGATAAACTCAGTTTATCAGTTAATAAACTCAGTTTATCAAGAAAAACTCAGTTTATCAATGATAAACTCAGTTTATCAACAGATAAACAGAGTTTATCAGATAAACAGAGTTTATCAGTTGATAAACTCAGTTTATCAGAAAAACTCAGTTTATCAGTTGATAAACTGAGTTTATCATTGATAAACACAGTTTTTCTGATAAACTGAGTTTATCTAGTTTTTACACAATGGGCTTGCCATAGCCGGGCCCGTAGAATTGAGCCCGTGGATCCGCGCCTGGTTGATTATCCATACACGCATTATCTATTTGTATTTATATTTGTAAAAATTAATAAAAAAATTAAATGGTAAATAATGTTCTGTAGACTATATAACACTGCCCTGTAATAACTTCTCATTCCCTCCCTCATGTATTGATGTTGGACCAATGAAAGTGTACGCTGTTGCTGTGACAGGTGAATGAGATGGGTCACCATTTGCCCTTATTGGGGTATATAGGAGTCTCAATGGAGAATCAATGGAGAATCTTTGATTTGAATGTAATCTGTGAAATTGTATTAATGCACGTCCTAACCATTTATATTTTGTTTGGTTTATACAGTCAACATGTTGCACCGTGAGAATTGTTGTGCGGAGGTTGTTCCTGCTTATCTCCAACAGCAATTTGAGCGGCGTAGGAGGACGGACAAGGGTGGAGGAGCACGAGCAAGTTTACTCAAGACTTAGGTCGCCACTGCTAAGCTTGCCGCAGTTAGGGAGCATTGTCGTGCCGCCAATCGGGTAAACCAGAACCTGCACAGTTTGACCAAAGTCAAGGCAATGTGCGATTATAGCCTGGAGTGAGTAAAATGTCTATGTTTCCCTTTTTTAAGGTATTGTACAACCCCCCCCCCCCCCCAAGAAAAAAAATGTACCTTAACACTGTTTTTGTTACTTTGAAGATTCTAGAATGTTCACAAAACTTCACTAACATAGAAGCAACTTCTAATTACCAGTTGAATCAAACTGAATTGAGATGCATCCAAGGTTTCTTTCATAATAACTTTTATTTACCAAGGGACAGCCTGTAAATTATTTCCAAGAAGGTGTGTGTTTTACTGTTCATTGTTTGGCTTCTTATTTTGGAAATGGTATTCATGCTTTATATAGCATTATATGGCCTAAATTCAGCACTTTAACTACAACAAGGTGATAGTCAGCATTCATCTTTGCTTTTGTTTGTGTAAACCACTTCTATGTATTATCTACATGGATATTTATTAGAAAAGAAGTAAAAAGTAGGGCTGAAGGTTACTAAATCCAAACATTTTATCATTCAACATAATTAGAGGCGAGTTGGCTCAGTCGGTAAAGCGCCTGCCTGTCAAACCAAAAATCTCAGGGTTTGAATTCCACCCAGGCAGATGACTGAAGCCTGTGTTGTGTGTTAACGTGCCCCTCCCCTTGTTTCATAGACGCAGGATATGTGGAAAACACTCCGTCCCTCGGATAGGACGTTAAATGGAGGCACTGTGTACTGGAGAGTCACCACCTTTGCACCTTAAGAACCCACTGCACTATTCGTATAAGAGTAGGGGGAACCCCAGTGTAGTGGTCCACCTGCACACTCCAGTAACCTTGGCGTTATATCCTGACTTATGGATCCTGTCAAGTTTCGACATAGAAGTAGAAATGTCTATGTTATGCATATTTCATTTGTAAGGCCCTGGAAAATAGGCCTCCCTCAAAATTTTGTATACATATATCCTATTTGTATTGTCATATATTTTACACACCAGTATCTTAAAAAGTTTGCACATTCTTCACTGCTTGCTGCAAAGATGCAGAAACCCAACCCCTGTTTCCAAGAAGTGGTGACTCATATTTCGCCCTCTCCCCAAAACGAAACCAAATCGAAGGCGTTGGTCATGTCAGTGGTTTCTGCCTGATAGCATCAGTTCTATACCTGATGCTTCACAGGAAACACTTATTCTGACCAGCCTCTTCATTTCTTTTTCAGGTAAGAAATTACAACTTTTAATCTCTTTCAATTCTGTCTGTCTAAGTTAATAATAATTGTTCAATTCATATATTACATTGTTATTAGTGATATTAGAACCAATTAAGTCTATTTTATCAAACCAGACTTATCATGAGAGATGCAGGCTTAACATAGGTATCTACGTGACATGTATCTATTGTATGGTGTTAGTTATGTTTATGAAGCATTTAGATTATATAATGGTCGTATTATTATGTAGTAGAAGTAGTAAATCTTTATATATTCATACTAAGTCAGGTTAAACCAACTAGTGTGAACACACCTCAGAATGTGTGTATGCTTAATGTGAGATGTTTAGTGACGGGTTCATACCCCACTATACAAGAGTAGTAGTAAAGTTAATCCTGATACCAATTCAATAGACTGTGCATTGGGAGAAGTTTCTCTGGTCTTTATCAGAGATAACTGTGACATGCTATGACTAATGACTTGTGGTCAGCAGTAGTCCACCAACTGGACAAATGAGGGAATATCGTAGAAAAGAGAGAATTTGGGTTCATAGTTCAAGATTCAGGTCTTTGATAAATGAGTTTGTTATGAATTTGTAGTTTCTCTCTCTCTCTCTCTCCCTCTCTCTTTCGCTTTCTCTCATGTCTCTCTCTTTTACTCCCTCTCATTTCTGGTTTCTCTCTTTAACTGTTAATATCATATTTGAAGATTGAGTGTGATTTTGTTAAAGTATATTCCTTGTATCTTTTATTATACTTTTGTCACTGCATATAGAGAAGAGTTTTGTTAGAATTGAGAAAGTAATTTGGTATTATTTTAGAAAAGGATTTTAGGGTTACTGCGACTATAGACAGGTCAGGATATTGGAGAAAGTTAGGTTATTGTGTAAAAAGACACAAACCTACTTTTAACTGGTTCACCTTGGTCTATAATTACAGTTAGCCGTGTTCAGATTAGAAGATAAGCAGTCAGATGCCTATGCCAATGTTGTTTATGAATTTAGAGTTAGCTGTGTTCATATTCATATTTAATCCGTATTACTTGTATTTAGTTTCATTAGTGGAATATGTTATTCCATGTTTATTGTTTATGTTATTAAAGAGTTCTATACCTGATGCTTCACAGGAAACACTTATTCTGACCAGCCTCTTCATTTCTTTTTCAGAATTTATATTATTTACCCCGGCCCGGGTAACACATTTATAACAAATCCCATTCTGTTTCCCTTTTGTGTTTCCCTTTTGTCACCGATTTCAATCCTCTCCTATAAAGGGCTGCATATTCCTGAAATTTTACGCTTTGAATTATTATTCTCATTATGTTATATTTAAGTTTCCTTCAAGGAAGATCCCTCTCTTTCTCTTTACTATGATTTGTTGAATCTAATTTTCATAGTCATACTGAACATTACTTTTGTGACATGAACTGTCTATCTCTCTGTTATCTACATCTGTAAGTTTGGATTCATACAAATATTTTTCTTCGGTTCCCCGGCCTGTTATTGCCAGTTTGACTTACTGAATCTATTTTTCACTGTTTATATACTATACATCTGAATTGCTTAAGTTTGAATACTGTATGTCAGATACAAAGCAATTATTACTCCCTCTCTTTCTTATCTTACTTGAAATAAAATTACTTACCGGTATCATTTTTATCAAATCTCAATTTGCTTGTTTGAATGCTTATGATCAGATTCACTTATTTCTGTATATATAGTCATATTTAATTCTATAGCTTTCCTTATTACTTATCAAATCTTCTTGTTTGAATACTGCATATATCAGGTACAAACCAAGACCCCTCCCCTCCCCTCTCTTTCTACTTCTCTCTCCAAATGTGAATTTTCTTTTTTTGAAGCTGTATATGATATTCCAAGTCATGGATTGCTTGTGCAATCAGTGTCACCTTACCAAACATCAACTTCTTTGTGGCATTCAATAATCTTTTCAGGAGAGAACGTTGAGTTTTCCTGATATCCAAATGGATGACACACCTTGTGGCCCGAATTCACAAGGGTTTGTTGACAAACCTCATTTGTGAATTTGAGCCTTTGTGTACAAGAAAAGAACTCTAAATTAATTTGTATAATTAAATGTTTCAATGACAAAGCCACCTATGGATATTTATCCCAGCTTGAATTTTCTTTCGTTTGGATCAGTATGTGAAGATTATCTGATGGCTTTTGTTATTTTTTTCATTTTCTGGTTGTCATGGCATTTTAGTGTAGTGTAGTTAACGCCTGGCTGGGAGATGGTGACCTGTGAATAATGAGCCCACGGGGCCCTTTCCCTTAAAGTGTGGGAGAACAGCACACCCAGTTAGGTTTATTTTTATAATTTTTTTTTTTCTTGGTAGGGCTTTTTGTAGATGATTTCTATGACACCAGAAATATATTCTTTTGATGCATATGTGGCATGTGCATAGTTTGATTTGTAAGATCCATATTGTAGGTATGTGTATATTTTTATTTGTGCATTTCAAATAATTTAGTGAAAATTTTGCTTTGGACCACTTGTAATATTTGATTGTTTTTATTTATTTTTCATTTTCTGGTTGTCATGGCATTCGAGTGTAGTGTAGTTAACGCCTGGCTGGGAGATGGTGACCTGTGAATAATGAGCCCACGGGGCCCTGTCCCTTAAACTGTGGGAGAACGGCACGCCCAGTCAGGTTTTTTAAATATTTTTTATGGTAGGGATTAGTAGAAGGTTTCCATGATACCAGAAATATATTGTTTTGATGCATATATATATGTGCATAGTTTGATTTTTAAGATCCATATTGTATGTTATGTGTATATTTGTATTTGTGCATTTCACATTTCACATTATTTAGTGAAAACTTTGCTTTGGACCACTTGTAATTTTTGATGGCTTTTGTTATATTTTTCATTTCTGGTTGTCATGGCATTCTAGTATAGTGTAGTTAACGCCTGGCTGGGAGATGGTGACCTGTGAATAATGAGCCCACTGGGCCCTCCCCCTAAACTGTGGGAGAACGGCATGCCCAGTCAGGTTTTTTAAATATTTTTTATGGTAGGGATTAGTAGAAGGTTTCCATGATACCAGAAATATATTGTTTTGATGCATATATATATGTGCATAGTTTGATTTTTAAGATCCATATTGTATGTTATGTGTATATTTGTATTTGTGCATTTCACATTTCACATTATTTAGTGAAAATTTTGCTTTGGACCACTTGTAATTTTTGATGGCTTTTGTTATATTTTTCATATCTGGTTGTCATGGCATTCTAGTATAGTGTAGTTAACGCCTGGCTGGGAGATGGTGACCTGTGAATAATGAGCCCACTGGGCCCTGTCCCTTAAACTGTGGGAGAACGGCACGCCCAGTCAGGTCTATTTTTTGTTTAATTCTAAAATTATTGTAGGGCTTTTTCTAGATGATTTCCATGACACCAGATATATATTCTTTTGATGCATATGTGCATAGTTTGATTTGTAAGATCCATATTGTAGGTATGTGTATGTTTTTATTTGTGCATTTCAAAAAATTTAGTGAAAATTGTGCTCTGGACCATTTGTAATATTTGATTGTTTTTTATTTATTTTTCATTTTCTGGTTGTCATGGCATTCGAGTGTAGTGTAGTTATCGCTTGGCTGGGAGATGGTGACCTGTGAATAATGAGCCCACTGGGCCCTGTCCCTTAAACTGTGGGAGAACGGCATGCCCAGTCAGGTCTATTTTTTGTTTAATTCTAAAATTATTGTAGGGCTTTTTCTAGATGATTTCCATGACACCAGATATATATTCTTTTGATGCATATGTGCATAGTTTGAATTTTAAGATCCATATTGTATATTATGTGTATATTTGTATTTGTGCAATGTGCATTTCACATTTCACATTATTTAGTGAAAACTTTGCTTTGGACCACTTG